CTGTAACACAAACACTGTCATACACTGACTGACTGTCACAGGGCCTGGTGTAGTGGCCTGTAACACAAACACTGTTATACACTGACTGACAGTCACAGGGCCTGGTGTAGTGGCCTGTAACACAAACACTGTTATACACTGTCTGACAGTCACAGGGCCTGGTGTAGTGGCCTGTAACACAAACACTGTTATACACTGTCTGACTGTCACAGGGCCTGGTGTAGTGGCCTGTAACACAAACACTGTTATACACTGACTGACAGTCACAGGGCCTGGTGTAGTGGCCTGTAACACAAACACTGTTATACACTGTCTGACTGTCACAGGGCCTGGTGCAGTGGCCTGTAACACAAACACTGTTATACACTGACTGACTGTCACAGGGCCTGGTGTAGTGGCCTGTAACACAAACACTGTTATACACTGTCTGACTGTCACAGGGCCTGGTGTAGTGGCCTGTAACACAAACACTGTTATACACTGTCTGACAGTCACAGGGCCTGGTGTAGTGGCCTGTAACACAAACACTGTTATACACTGTCTGACTGTCACAGGGCCTGGTGCAGTGGCCTGTAACACAAACACTGTTATACACTGACTGACTGTCACAGGGCCTGGTGCAGTGGCCTGTAACACAAACACTGTTATACACTGTCTGACAGTCACAGGGCCTGGTGCAGTGGCCTGTTACACAAACACTGTTATACACTGTCTGACAGTCACAGGGCCTGGTGCAGTGGCCTGTTACACAAACACTGTTATACACTGTCTGACAGTCACAGGGCCTGGTGCAGTGGCCTGTTACAAAAACACTGTTATACACTGTCTGACAGTCACAGGGCCTGGTGCAGTGGCCTGTTACACAAACACTGCTCTACACTGACTGACAGTCACAGGGCCTGGTGTAGTGGCCTGTAACACAAACACTGCTCTACACTGACTGACTGTCACAGGGCCTGGTGTAGTGGCCTGTAACACAAACACTGTTATACACTGTCTGACAGTCACAGGGCCTGGTGTAGTGGCCTGTAACACAAACACTGTTATACACTGTCTGACTGTCACAGGGCCTGGTGTAGTGGCCTGTAACACCAACACTGTTATACACTGTCTGACAGTCACAGGCCTAGCACAAACACTGCTCTACACTGTCTGACAGTCACAGGCCTAGCACAAACACTGCTCTACACTGACTGACTGTCACAGGGCCTGGTGCAGTGGCCTGTAACACAAACACTGTTATACACTGTCCGACAGTCACAGGGCCTGGTGCAGTGGCCTGTAGCACAAACACTGCTCTACACTGACAGACTGTCACAGGGCCTGGTGCAGTGGCCTGTAACACAAACACTGCTCTACACTGACTGACTGTCACAGGGCCTGGTGTAGTGGCCTGTAACACAAACACTGTTATACACTGACTGACTGTCACAGGGCCTGGTGCAGTGGCCTGTAACACAAACACTGTTATACACTGACTGACTGTCACAGGGCCTGGTGCAGTGGCCTGTAACACAAACACTGTTATACACTGACTGACTGTCACAGGGCCTGGTGCAGTGGCCTGTAACACAAACACTGTTATACACTGACTGACTGTCACAGGGCCTGGTGCAGTGGCCTGTAACACAAACACTGTTATACACTGTCTGACTGTCACAGGGCCTGGTGCAGTGGCCTGTAACACAAACACTGTTATACACTGTCTGACAGTCACAGGGCCTGGTGCAGTGGCCTGTAACACAAACACTGTTATACACTGACTGACTGTCACAGGGCCTGGTGCAGTGGCCTGTAACACAAACACTGTTATACACTGACTGACAGTCACAGGGCCTGGTGCAGTGGCCTGTAACACAAACACTGTTATACACTGTCTGACAGTCACAGGGCCTGGTGCAGTGGCCTGTAACACAAACACTGTTATACACTGTCTGACTGTCACAGGGCCTGGTGCAGTGGCCTGTAACACAAACACTGTTATACACTGACTGACTGTCACAGGGCCTGGTGCAGTGGCCTGTAACACAAACACTGCTCTACACTGACTGACTGTCACAGGGCCTGGTGCAGTGGCCTGTTACACAAACACTGTTATACACTGTCTGACTGTCACAGGGCCTGGTGTAGTGGCCTGTAACACAAACACTGTTATACACTGACTGACAGTCACAGGGCCTGGTGCAGTGGCCTGTAACACAAACACTGTTATACACTGACTGACAGTCACAGGGCCTGGTGTAGTGGCCTGTAGCACAAACACTGTTATACACTGACTGACAATCACAGGGCCTGGTGTAGTGGCCTGTAACACAAACACTGTTATACACTGACTGACAGTCACAGGGCCTGGTGTAGTGGCCTGTGGCACAAACACTGCTATACATTCTTATTGCAAGCACGAAACATTGGATGTTATTGTGCACAGGATCAAGTATCATATGAAATGCTTAAATTAACATACATGTACTTCCACGAGGTGACAACTAGGGACCAGAGCTATCAAATGCCACAACACAGCCTGCACCAAACACTTGTGAATTTACTAGCTCGAACTTTGCTCTTTGCATTACATGGACTTTTATTAGCTGATCTTACTAGACTCAGACTTCGGAGTAGATACTTAAGTCACAGACTGCTATTATATCTGATAGATTTTAGAAATTGTGCAGATATCAAGTAAGGTTGTCAAGGAGAAGTGAAATTAGAAATATATTTTGCTGCACTTGGGCAGCAGTTTGTTGTTTAATGACATACTCAGCAATATTCCAGCCATATGAAGAAGCACACACAGAAGTCACATTTTGTAAATCAACCTGCTTAATATATGAAGCCACTGGGGACGTGACTTGGGTTTAACATGTTTAATGACGCTTTTAACAGTATTCAAGTTACATCACAGCATGTCAGCTTGATGTGGGAGGAAAGCCTGAAGTGATACAGGTCTCGCACCTTTACCACTTTGGCGACACACCTGGAAACATAATCGTGGCAAACTGGTGTATGAACCCGCAATCATAAGTTTATGGCATACCCAAAGGATGCGCCTAAAGACGACTGGGCCACTCGTGCCCCTTATGAAGCCAGTCATACATATTCTTTGCAAAATGTAAACTCAACAAACACAATGATATTAAAAGAATGAACAGGCTTAAAGACAGTATGATGTGGGGGATGTGGGGGATTCAGAAAGAGAAAGGGCCTCATGAAACAGAAGGGGGCAAACTAGATCGTAGTGAAATGACATTCAGAGATTGACAATGATTTAAAGTATTCTTGCTGGCACACTTAAATTCAAAAGGCATTCATACACATAAATGAGTGCCCTGTGGCTACAGATGGCTGAAAAGATTGATAATCAGAAATATCCTCGATGGTAAGAAACATTAACGATTATCGACATAAAAATTGTGTCATCGATAACTTACATAAACTTTTGTGATAAATAAAGTTTAACTTTTCCCAAACAGACTTGTTATTGTTAACCATGACAATTGCCAAAGACAGAAAGCAACTGTTTTTGTTATCCTAAATGTCCACAAAGTAATCTATTCATAAATGTGTCACCACTCACCAGTGGCGTGAAATATGTTGATTTCTTTTGGACTTTATTTTGCATATTTGCTGCAAGGGACCTTTCCGATACTTACCAAAAATTTATCAATATTAAGTTAACAATTATCAATCTCTATGATCTATATCGATAGCCAGCCCTACCTGTGGCTCACTTGAAAGAAAAAATATTAATATCCTTGATATACAACAGGAAAATTAGCTCATGGTGAAATGACATGCAGAGACTTTGAATGTGGCTGTCAAGTATTTACTTGTTGGCAATATATTAACTTTTATAAGGCTTATTACTTCTCAGTGTATACAAACAAACAGAGTAGAGACAAACAAGCATCATAGGACAAAGTCATGAATAACATTCCCATACAATCAGCACCTAGTTCTCCCAGGAACACAGCTGTCTGCCAGTTTGAACTGGTATGTTCCAAACTGACTGACTTAATGGTGGTCTTTACTTAACATTTACCAGATATATCAATTTTAATGTTACATTTCAAAAGGAAGTCTCATAATTTGAACAAACATAAAAGAGGATCAATTACCAAATGTATTTAGAGGTGATATAAATACTAGTACATGGTGGATAGTAATCCTTTGAAACATGTTTCCAAAAACCTTTTTATATTTGAATACCTTGCTCAGCTAACTAGAAAAACAGTTTTTGTTCACATGTAACTACAGTGCAATGTATCACAACAATCCTAACCCAATCAACATCCTCTTCAAATATATCAACATGTCTTAAGCTATCCTCATTTTGTTGCCTTGGAACAATCTAGAACACTACTGTAACAGATAATGGCTAGATTCGTCTCCTCAGGTCTACGTACTCCATCCCTCAACAACTTGGGATTAGATCTGCAATATTCTGGCTCCATGAAGCCTCTACAGACCCATTTCCATAGCTCAACACATGAATTACAACCCAAGCTGACCTACTGTCTTATTTCCAAGACTATATATAATACTACAATCTTAATGATATCATATTAGTGTGCAGCCTCATATTAAATTAATGTAGATGTAGGTCACCCTAAGCGTGTTGCGATTGTTAATAGCCAACGTGTATCTGGACATCTTGTTCTGGCTTCTGTTGGACATTTTATTTTGAAAATCAACCTCACTAAACACGATATATATGGTGGAATGTAAGGGCTCATAGGTATTGTTTTCTTATTGATGTTCCTTTATAGTTCATTTCATTGCTTGAGTATAACAAATCTATCAACCGTTCATTGTGTTAGTCATAGATCGAACGTTTCCCTACAAATAATGCCGATGGGAACATGGCTGCCCGCTATTGCTTCCATGGCATGAATTGCGCAGGTAAATTTGAAATCGGAAAAACTACATGTGGTAAACCTCACACCAGGTAGGTACAGCGTGTAAGAAAACTATCTATCGTGAACAACAAATGGTCTGCTAACCCAAATCCACTGAGGATGAAACGTGTCCCCTGACAAGTTGCTCATTACAGGCCCGGAGCGCTGACGAACCAGCCGTCAGACATTTCGATATTTCATGATCAAGTCGGAATAAACTTGACAATTCGTGTTTTTCACGATGAACGCGAAGCAGGAAACAGCTCTCAAAATATATTTGACACCGTGACTGCTGTCAGACAGGGGCTAAAACTCGCGATCAAGTCAGGGTCAAAAGGAATTTTCTCCATGGTGGATGTGTCAAACCTCTGGTTAGCCACAATGTCTGAAGTTTTGGCTCGCGATCTTATTCACCACTGACCTCGTACGAGAGAATGCATTGGTGCATCGGATAGAATAAACGATAAGCTTTCCGGCGATACTACTCTTGCTAGGAGATCTGAACTAGTATTTGGAGATCTACAGGGCCTAAATCAGCCTTTTGAAGTATTTTAGCCTATGAACCCCTGCCTTTCCCCGCAAATTTTATCAGCGAAATAATATTCAGAAAACACTCACCGTCATGTAACGTGCCAATGATTAACGGGGTTTACAATTTGCATGCCAGGGGCAGAATTAACCTTTGACCTTTTGACATGCGAAAGTTTGGGAACGATTTACAAAGTCTGTAATGGGTTTATAGGTGTGAAAAGTTGATGGGATGGTACATAAGTATGAATACTACATGTCTGCTTAAGGACTTCACGCAAGTCTTCTTTGTTTTTGTGTTAATTGTAAGTAAACTCTCAGCCTTTGTGTACGCAAAATCCTCTGACGTCACACCGCGTGACCTCGTACCGGGAGCAAATGACAATGCAAATAGCCATTTATAGCAGTCGAGGGTGGACAAGTAACGTAGGACACACCTCATCTAGACAGCTGTTGAAAGCCTTTTAGGTGTCCACGGAAGGAATGTTAGTTATTCTGAAGACAACGTTTAATGCTTGCAGTCACATGTAGGAAATATTATATTTTGTTGAAATGCTGACAGGTGCCCGTCGATACACACATTTTGCTTACGTTTTACACACGGAAGTAAACATTGTGACACGTGCACTGTGTTGTTATTTTTGCCATATCGGACGTGATAACAGTTTGTACTGAAAACAATTGCACATTTCCAAATAAATCATCTCGAAAATGCTTGTCTAAGTAAAATAATAGCAATCTTTGTAAATTCCTTTAGTCACTAAGTGTTTCTTGTGTGAGAAGCATCCACAATGCGACAAATATACGTGTGAGTGAATACGCCCCCCTCACCAAACAAGCATAGACGTGATCTAGGTATCAAAGCGAGCAGTAGTAGGTGCACAGTAGGTACAAAACACTTGTAACGTAGATTTTTAACAAGTTCTATATCGAAAACGTATGTTAATCTTTAGTTTTAGCGGAACGTGAAGTACGTTGCAATTAGAGATGGTTTCAAAGAGTCGACCATACTTCACAACACCGCCATATTTCTACGTATGTGATTTCCCCCTCAACGTGTTTTGTTTATTACTAAACATAATATCCTTAAAATTGTGTGCACGTTGGTTTAAATATTCACTGAATGTCAATAGTTTTTTGGGTTTTTAAAAAATATATTAACGACATAACAGACTACATGACTTGCATGAAGAAATGTAGTTGCATATTTTCAACACAATGTGTCAGATATGCGTATTTCTTGTGTCAGGGTGCACGTGTTATCCCTAAGAACCATGGCTCTTAATTTCCCTTAAGGGCAATAACCTATATCCATTACTATGACTGTTATTTCAAAAAGTAAATTGTTCTGAATATATTATTTATAATGGCATTTTAGGAATGGCCGAAGCAGTATAATGTTTCATTTAATATTATAACAGCAGTTATGTATTTCACTTCTTGGGAGATTATATATTCATTTAAAAGAATTTAATGATTCTGTCAGTCCTTACAGTTATGTTTAACTTTTGTATGAAGATGTGTGTATTATAGTGTGTCTCTGAAGATGTGTGTATTATAGTGTGTCTCTGAAGATGTGTGTATTATAGTGTCTCTCTGCCTAGCATTTTCCAGATAATTTGACACTTTGCATCAGATGGCAGATTCTATGCTTTGAAGATCAAATAGTGTTATTTCATATCTTCCGTGAACACGTTTCACTTAATTTCCAAGAACGTTCATCATTGCACATACTTACAAAATTTGATGAAATTGAGTGATGAAAGTCTCCCATTGAACCCTGAACATGCAATCTACGGTAATGTTGATAAATGTAATAATTCAAATAGCCATGTGTGTCTGCATCCCACAAGATCCCATCTCAATGTGTATAACTGCTTCATGACATCACCTGAAATCAAGATTTTCTGTATGGCTGCTATTAAAATGTATTTTGTCAAGACTGTTAACTGGAAATGAAAGAACATAGAGGTAGTGCAGAGTAACCGGTGGATAAGGTATGTTAAGCACCCTTTTTAACCCACTATGTTGTGAAATGTTGACAGAAATTATGTCGCAGTACATTAAAAAAATTCAGTCTAAATCACTGTTGGTGCCCCCATGGATATGTGGAAAATTACTCCAGAATATACTTCAAAGTGAAAAGATTTTAAACCTGACTCTTATCCTCTGAAACACATTGTACATACTGTTTTGAAATGTTTTGATGATGTGTAAACATTGTACAGAATCCATGTTTAAGTGAAGTATATTTACAGTTAGAAAGTTTTGAAATATCTTGCATGAAAGCTATCTACACAGTTTTATCTAGGTCTGCTCTGATACTGATATTTGGCCCCAAGTCAGCATTAAATGTCAGTAAAATTAAAAAATTAGAATTAAATATTTCCCAATACATGCTGTTAGTGTTATGACTAATGTTATGGCTTTATAAAAGTGACTTGTACTTCACTGGTAAAAGGCCCTATGAAGAGGAAGAGGCTAAAATGCTTACTTTTACATTGTTGCATTGAATACAAGGTTATACTGCAATTTGAAAATATTTCTGAATTGAGGAAAATAAGAACTGAAAACAAACTCCCAGTTTTGAACAAAATAACAATTTTGTCACAATTTGCATGCTATTAGCACAGAGTTTGGAATCCTAGATCCCCCATTCCCTGATCTAAATTAAGTCAGTCTCAATATGTGCTAACTCTTCACGTCGGACTTGTTATTTGACACCTACTGGTAATGTTTTTGAGGATGTTGATATGCATTAAAGGAAGGTCAAGGTCACTTATTTAAAATATGCTTAATGATGACCTTATTCCATAGATCATGCATATGTCATCATAATGATCAGTGGGAAATGTAAATATACAGACCACTGTCATACAGTTCTGAGTGTGGTATTCAACAACAAACAAACTTATTTTCCACCATGGTTTGGTTTCACAACAAATTTAGATAACATGACACTAAAAAATATCCATCCAATAAATATTACACTTGTGAGAGAAATACTGTGCATAGTTAGTGATAGAGAGATTGAAAGTGAATATTTAATGGACAACATGTCTAGGGTGTTTATCATAATAAAATGGAGATATAGTTCCTGGACAGTCAAAGATGAGGTCCCAGGTCTTAATTTAGTTATATTAGATGTGCGCCAAGCAATCTAGTATTGAAAAATGTAACCTTAGCACCACGTGCATGTCCTTATCTTTCAAATATGCCTTACCCTTACGTAGCAGGGTTTTTGAACACATTCAATACTTTTACCATTCTACATATATAATGCCTGCGTTATGTATAACTTATGATGCTTTCTTGGGCTTGACATCAAACTGAAGGTACTTCAAGATCAAGTACACGTTTCAATTTTCATAAATGTATGGTATCAGGGTGCAACCTGTTTTATTTTTTTGTCTGGTGCAACCTGTTTTCCTCTGGTGCAACTAGGAATTCATGTCAACATGCACCTGGTGCAAGTTAAATCAAGTTTCTTATATCGAGCCCTGGGTCCCCAGTACCTGGTGTTTGTGTTGGGAGCCAACTAATCAAGTAGTCGGCCTCTGTGACTTGCCCTGTGGGCCTGTGGTTTACAATCGGAAGTGATGTTGACTTTGTTATCAAGGCAGCTACAGACTTTTCTGTGTCAATGTTGTTCTGCATTGGACATGTGTGTGGTCATCTGTGGCCGGAGTTGGTCAAGGCGAAATGGTTCATGATACATGTTTCTGGACCCGTGAAGATTCCGGGGTAGAATAGGTCTTCAGCAACCCATGCTTGCCGTTAAAGGTGACTATGCTTGTCGTAAAAGGCGACTGACGGGATCGGGTGGTCAGGCTCGCTGACTTGGTTGATGTATGTCATCGATCCCAATTGCGTGGATCGATGCTCATGATGTCAGTCACTGGATTGTCTGGTCCAGACTCGATTATTTACAGACCGCCGTCATATAGCTGGAATATTGCTGAGTGCGGCGTTAAACAACAAACAAACAAACAACCAACATGTTTCTGATTGGAGAGTTTTGGGGCATTCAGGAAGGTGTGGATTGGCTGTACATGGATTTACATGCTTTTGTTTCTTCATGTAATGTAAGACTGCCTCCATGGCCTAGTGGTAGAGTGTCCACCCGGAGAGTGGAAGGTCCGGGGTTTGATCCCCGGCTGCGTCATACCAAAAGACGTTAAAAGATGGTACTTGTTGTTACCCTGTCTGGCGCTCGGCATTAAGGGACTAAAACAAGGACTGGTCGGCTAGGAGTCAGTATACTGTGTCTGAGTGGGATATTCATGTTAAACTGCGGCATGGTATCTCAGTGAGCTAGCACTATAAATCGGCATCAGTAAGGACTAGTACAAGCAGCCACACAAACACACACACGTACATGCACGTCGCTATATAAGTGAAATAATCTTGGACACGACTTTAAACCCAATTTCACCTCACCTCATGTTATGTAAAAAACATTCATTGGCCTATATCCAGGGGATGTCATGATATTTGCCTACATCACATATTAAATATCAGTGAGTGAGTTGGGTTTAACGCCGCTTTTAACAGTATTCCAGTTATATCGCGGCGTGTCAGCTTGATGTGGGAGGAAAGCCCGAAGTGATGCAGGTCTCAGACGTTTACCATTTCGGTGAAACCCACGAGCACAGGTATGGTGCTGACAAACGAAGAAACATAATTGGGGCGAACCGGGATTCGAACCCACAATCATAGGTTTCTGGCGTGCCCAAGGGACGCAACTCTGCACAGCGAATCGCAGCGCCTTAGACGACTGGGCCTCCCGTGCCCCCTATTAAATATCAAATAAAATATCATGATTCTTAAGTCATGATATGGTACAAGTCATGATTCTTAATATCCGCTTGTTTATCATGGAATACTCCATGCTCCATCTGGCCTGACTGACAAGTGGTTCTTACAACCAATTCGTGTTGAAATTGCATGGACCAACTCGTTGGTCTAGTGGAAAGAGGGTCTGCCTGGAGAGTGGGCGGTCGGTGGTTCGATTCCCTGTCAACATCATGCCAAAAGTTGTTAGAATTGGTACTTGTTATTACCCTGCCTGGCGTTGGGCATTAATGGGGATAAAACAACGATTGGTTGGCATGGAGTCCATATACTGTGTCTGAGTGGGGTATTCATGTAAAACTCTGACATGGTATCTCAGTGTGCTAGCATTATTCTGGGCCGTTGCAAGCAGCCAGACACACATATTGTGCATCCATGTCACTACATAAGTGTAATTATCTTGAATGAATGTTAAGTCTCATTTCACCTCACGTTACGCAATTACAGGCTGCCATGACATTGCTTGAACATTGCTGACTGCATTGTATACAAACCGTCACTCGCTCTCACAATTCCACTCGGGGGCACGGGTGGCCCAGTCGTCTACAGCATGGCAATTCATTGTGCAGAGTGAATTCCCTTGGGCATACCAGATACCTATGATTGTGGGTTCAATCCTGGTCCGCCCTGATTATGTTTCTAGGTTTGTCAGCACCATACCTGTGTTTGTGGGTTTCTCCGAAGTGGTAAACATCTAAGACCTGCATCACTGCAGCCTTTCCTCCCACATCAAGCTGACACGATGTGATATAACCGGAGTACTGTTAAGAGCGGCTTTAAACCCAACTCACTCACTCACACACAGTTCCAGTGGGGGTTTCGCCCTGTATAGCCCACCAGTACCTCATAGTTGTGTTGAGAACAGACTAAATTAGTTAATTGTTCTAGTCAATGACTTGTTTGTGTGGCCCAGCCTTCTCTATTTACAAGGCATTGTGATATAGCTGAAATATTGCTGACTGCAGCATAAACACAAACTCTGCAATCTGAGAGTTTGTTTGTTGTCCTGTAGCCATTGTTGATACCTGATCCCGATTCTTCTCATTAAAATAATAGAAAGACTATGAAATGAACTCAACAAACTTTGACTGCCCAGTCTGAAAGATATTTTTACCATCTTGATTTTGAAATCTCTCAGCAAAAGAAAACCATCATTATATTTATACACACTCAATAGTACACCATGGTGCAAAATGAGGGCTTGTCGTAAGAGGCGACTAACAGGATTGGGTGGTCAGGCTCGCTGACTTGGTTAAAGCATGTCATTGATCCCAATTGCATAGATTGATGCTCATGATATTAATTACTGGATTGTCTGGTCCAGACTTGATTATTTACAGACTGCCGTCATATAGCTGGAATATTGCATCAACGAAGTCAGCGAGCCTGACCACCCGATCGCATTAGTCGCCTCTTATGACAAGTATGGGTCGCTAAAGACCTATTCTACCCCAGATCTTCACAGGTCTAGTGTAGTGTGTAGGGTGTTCATGTTAAACTGTGGCATGGTATCTCGCCTTGTGAATGAATGGTGATTGTTATCAGCGTTTCTATTCAAATCAGACTCAAAACAAAGCTTTGGTAGAGATTGGTCCATGGTATTTGTCACAATAGAATGGAGATTTACACTGGATCATCGAGGATGACATGAAGGACGTAACATTGACTGTTTATGTATTGCAGGTCTAGCTGACCACAATGGAGGACACCGTCCGAGCCTGTGTGTTGACCGCCAAGTCTCCAACCTGTCAAACCGAAGGCACTGGATGTGGCGTTATTATTGACACTCGCCATGGTTACGTCATCGCCCACTCAGCAGTTCTGGCACCGTTTCTTCTCAATAAGCCGGAGATTCTCAGAGAACTGGAATCATGTTCCACACAACAGACCAACCTTTCTGGTATTTTAAATGTCAACATTGAGGTTATTTTGGAAACACTTAAACATACCTCCCAAACAGCGGACTATTCTTTGAAGAACTATAAAACAGCTTTAGTAAATACAAACATTCACGAAAAATGCCCTAAACAAACAATCCACACTGCAAAATTACGGTCCGTGTTTAAGTGTTCAAGGTTCGAGCAGGCGATGAAACAGCTAATGCCGGAAGGGAACTGGAAATTCGCAGACAGTTCTAAAGACTCCGGGTCCACGTCGAGTCCAAATGTGCCAAAAGATGAATCTGTAGACGGAGAGGACGAGCAGGTCTACAAATTATTGCCTTATTTTGTTTTGGTCCAGCTGAAGCGGTGGAATAGTTATAATTCAGTCATGAGAGTACGTTCAACCCAGTGCTGTCGGATCGGGGAACCTGTGGAGCTCCTCGCAACACCTTTTGCAAACCTGTTCCCAGAAATAATGCTGAATTCTGTAAGCAAGGGGATCATCAGCAACCTTGCAGGGAGAAATCATTGTTTAATTTTGTCTGATGCTCGCTGTATCCCAGGTTCTGAGGGAGGGCCGCTGTTTACCCTTGGCGGCGATGACTCAAGGTAATAATACCTAGACAAATTTGGTCTCAGAAATAAAACATTATTTTACAAAATATATGCACAATAAATCCCCCTAACCCAATTTTGAGTTGTTTGCTACACCTTGCATGACAATTATATAAACCTTCTGGTAAGCCAGGATGAGTTAAGTGGTGTGTCCTGACAACCAACTCAGTATGGCTATGTATGAGGTTTGCCCACTGCCGCTTACCATTGTGAAGAAAGGGGTAGCGGGTGATCTGCAACGAGTAGTACGATGGATATGTGCTTCATCTGTCTCTACTTACGTGTTCTAGTGGCCAGTTCAATAGCACATAGTAATATGTAGTGATGGGAGGTACCTGATGACTCTGAAAATTGTGACAGCAAGTTTGCATAGAAAATTTTAATTGAGAATTATCGTGACAATTTATTTGCAGCGCATGATAAGATGCAAATTAGAAAACACCTGAAACAGCCAAGCAGAATTATATTTAAATACCCAATAGAACAGTCCCAAGGGAGTAAACGCTGTACAGTAACCTATGGTTATAACGAACTCAAAGGGACCACTAATTTTGGTCTGTTGTAACTGTAGTTCCTTATAAGCATTAATACAGCATATGGCCAGGATAAAAAAAATTAAGTTCGCTATATCCATCACTTATAAGCGTGTTCATTGTAAACATAATTTACTATATTGCATTCCCAAAGATAGCTATCGATTCTCAGTGTGAATGTTAACATGAGTAAATACTCAATGGCTTTAAACATTGTCTGGAGCCCTGGGCCCACTTGCACAAAGCGATCTTAGCGCTAAGACTATTGTAAGCCTATGTTAAAGTATGGGAGTTACGATCATCTTAGCGCTAAGATCGCTTTGTGCAAGTGGGCCCTGGTCTGCCCAGCTGTCTACCTGTAAATCTAAAGGAGAGATTCCTAACTAAATCCCTTTGGCAAGCAAACTGGAAATAATTGTGATATTGTTCAAAAATGGAATTTTTTCAGTTCCATTTTTTGTAAATTTTGTAAAATTGGGAATTTTTTCATTCAAATTAGTAATGTTTACTGACATTTGCTGCTAACTTGAGGCCGCATGTCTTAATTAATCCCTGCTACAGATGACAATATGTTCCAGGTTGTAATTTCTTCCATTCCAGACATTTGAGCGGTATAGTTGTATCGTCAATGTGTTGGAAGAATGGGGAGTGGATCGGCTTTTCCTTGGCTTGCTCAATACATGAGGTACTAGGCAGCATTCCACGCTTGAACAAACTAGTCGACTATGACGTTGAGTTGAGGAAGAGGCAGCAAGGTTCAGGTTTGTGAATATTGATGTCCGACTATGTGAATATTGATGTCCGACCATGTGAATATTGATGTCCGACCATGTGAGCTAATGATTTGACAGTACAAGTGTACACATTTGAAAAAGTAAACATATTTTTGTATTATTTTTTGTAATTGGATATTAGATACATAGAACCATTTACAAAATGCACTTTAAGGCCAGGTGAATTATATTTCTGTTTCTGAGATTTTTATCCCAATATACTAAAGTCAAGACGAGGAAAAAATAATATTACGAACTGGTCTTCAGCAACCCATGCTTGTCTTACGAGACAACGAATGGGGTCAAGTGGTCTGGTTTACTGACTTAGTAGATGCATGCTATCATGTCCCAATTACCATGATGCTCATGATGTCAATCACTAGATTGTCTGGTCCAGGCTCGATTATTTACAGACTGCCGTCATATTGCTGGCATATTGCTGAGTGCGGCGTTAAACAACAAACATTTAAAAAAACTATTACCTTATTTTCTTGTGTGTCATACACACCTCCTTTTTGAGGTTTTGTTTTATGGGGCAAAGTGTTTTCTGTTAGCTCCTGGTGAAGTCTGCCTGAACATAAGAGAGAACAAACACAGTCAAAATGTCAGTGTAACTGTAAAGTGAGAGATCTGGTAAACAAGTCATCAAATTGGACTTGTCTAATTAAAAAATATGCCATGTTTGAATTGTATATGATTTCAAGAGATTTTACTGGTTGTGTAAACGTCTCATTTGTTTGCGTTATGTTCCGAGTGTAACGTAAGAATCAATTTCCATTGTTCAGCAGACTACAGCGATGTATGACACAGCGGGGAGTTCATTCTGTACATGTGTTTGCTAATGTGTCGCGTTGACTCGAATCATGCACTGTAGTCCTCCTACAAACCTTTCTCCTTGCTGGCTCAAACTGTTTGATTAGCAGTACATGGAATGTACCTGACTCGAAGTACCCTTGCATGATCTTGCTTGTGTTGGTGTGAAGTGGGGTTTTACCTTGCGTTGGGAGTTTTTGCACTTGTAAAGCCATGTGAGTGAGTGAGTATGGTTTTACGCCGATTTTAGCAATATTCCAGCAATATCACGGTGGGGGACACCAGAAATGGACTTCACACATTGTACCCATGTCGGGAATCGAACCCGGGTCTTCGGTGTGAGGAGCGAACGCTTTAACCACTAGGTTACCCGACCGCCCCTAAAGCCGTGTGAACATACATGTGTGTGTGTATGTGGCTGCTTTTACTAGTCCAGACCTAGGTGGTTTTATAGTGCTAGTTCACTGAGATACCAGGCCATTTCCGTAGTCTAGTGGTAGAGCAACTGCCTGGACAGTGGAAGGTCTGGGATTTGATCCCAGCCATGTCATACCAAAAGACAGTAAAATGTGGTACTTGTTGTTACCCTGCCCAAACTAGGAATGGCTGGCTCGGTGTCAGTATCCTGCCTCTGAGTGGGGTATTTATGTTAAACTGCAGAATGGTATCGCAGTGGGCTAGCACTATAAAATCAGCTTCTGTTCGGACTAGTACAAGCAGCCACACACACATACACGTGCATGCACGTTGCTATATAACTGCAACAATCTTGAACGCGACGTCAAACCCCATGCCATGCCACAGTTTAAAATGGATACTTGAATACTTCACTCAGACACAGCATACTGACTTTGTGCCGACCAGTTGTTGTTTTATCCCAGTTAATGCCAAGTGCCAGGCAAGGTAACAACAAGTACCATCTTTTAGTGTCTTTATAGTGTTAGTTCACCGAGATAACAGACCTTCTCCGTGGTCTAGTGGTACCAGACCGTCTCCGTGGTCTAGTGGTACCAGACCGTCCCTGAGGTCTAGTGGTAGAGTGTGGTGTAGAGCAGAAGGTCTGGGGTTCAATCCCTGGCCATGCCATACTAAAAGAAGATAAAAGATGGTATTGTTGTTACTCTGCCTGGTGCTCGGCATTAAGGGGCTAAAACAGAGCCAGGCTCGGAGTCAGTGTACTGTGTCTGAGTGGGGAATTCATGTTAAACTGTGGGATGGTATCTCAGTGAAGTGGGGTTTAATATCGCGTTAAAAATCTTTTGGCATGATGTGACCAGTGGTTCAAACCATCGACCTTCCGCTCTCAGACATTCTATGGAGTGACAGACCATGGTGTGACGGACTATGGAGTGAAGGACCATGGTGTGACGGACCATGGTGTGACGGACTATGGTGTGACGGACCATGGTGTGACGGACTATGGTGTGACGGACTATGGTGTGACGGACCATGGTGTGACGGACCATGGTGTGACGGACCATGGTGTGACGGACTATGGTGTGACGGACCATGGTGTGACGGACCATGGTGTGACGGACTATGGTGTGACGGACCATGGTGTGACGGACTATGGTGTGACGGACCATGGTGTGACGGACCATGGTGTGACGGACCATGGTGTGACGGACTATGGTGTGACGGACCATGGTGTGACAGACCATGGTGTGACGGACTATGGTGTGACGGACCATGGTGTGACGGACTATGGTGTGACGGACTATGGTGTGACGGACCATGGTGTGACGGACCATGGTGTGACGGACCATGGTGTGACGGACCATGGTGTGACGGACTATGGTGTGACGGACCATGGTGTGACAGACCATGGTGTGACGGACTATGGTGTGACGGACCATGGTGTGACGGACCATGGTGTGACGGACTATGGTGTGACGGACCATGGTGTGACGGACCATGGTGTGACGGACCATGGTGTGACGGACCATGGTGTGACGGACTATGGTGTGACGGACTATGGTGTGACGGACCATGGTGTGACGGACCATGGTGTGACGGACTATGGTGTGACGGACCATGGAGTGCTTTGTAGTTGTGACATTGCCAGCCTATTAATGGCATGTTCACTGTTTGCCAAACACATTAACGTAATCCTTGAATAGAATAGACTTAGCATAAGCCTAAGCTTAGAGATTTTGCATAAGGCCTGCTGTATGTATAATCAATGGTGGCTTGCTGACTTACTGTTGACACACAACTAGAAATAATTTCTCTGTAAATAATCTGCAATTATTGGGGCATGCATCGCAAATATACGCCAACAATACAACACAAGATACGTCTACAAAAGTATCAGTTTATGTTTTAATTCCGCATCAATATTTCAAAAAGGATTTATTTTTTTTACAAAGTATTGCAATAACTCCGCCCAATAACTAATCGGGATAGTTTTCACTTCTGGAAAATAAGTACAAATACCATCAGAAAAGGCATAAATTGACCAGTCATGCGAGTTGAATATAAACTGGTTGAAAGCAACTGCCTATACTTAGACAGGACATTTTGAATATCGAATTTCATGTACACAGTGCAGTATTCCTCCATTAAATATTCATTGTCTATAATTATTAGGTCTAGTTAGTGCACGTTGGCAATATACTTTTACATTTTTTACATCTCCGCTGAAACAACAATACACGTAGCTCAGACAATGAAGTGGTTATTCTGTTTTCATTTAGGCAAAAATAAAAGATCTTGTGTTTTATGTAACTCAAACAATCCATTGTTTCACTTGTGACCAAGGTGTGGTCATCACATATGGTTGGTTGGTTGGTTGGTTTGTTGTTTAACGCCGCACTCAGCAATATTCCAGCTATATGACGGCGGTCTGTAAATAATCGAGTCTGGACCAGACAATCCAGTGATTAATATCATGAGCATCGATCCACGCAATTGGGATCGATGACATGCATCAACCAAGTCAGCGAGCCTGACCACCCGATCCCGTTAGTCGCCTTTTACGACAAGCATAGTCACCTTTTATGGCAAGCATGGGTTGCTGAAGACCAATTCTACCCCGGAATCTTCACGGGTCCATCACATATGGAATTTTGGGAGTGTTTCCACATATCAACATTGCTGAAGCATCTTTGACCTACAAAGTCAAGAAAAATTGCAACTAGCATCAGTTCTAACAAGCTATCTGGGTTAAATGTTGTCCAAAAATTAAAAAAACCAAGAAAAAAAACCATATTATCTGAAACACAAGTATATTTTTGTTTTTACCTCAGTGATTTTGTCCTTGATATCCATTTTGATATGATACCAATGCTCTATAGATTTCTGAACTTTTAACACATACAAGAATATAAACAGATATTTTAATTAGGTCAGTTAATACTTTGGGACTTGTTTTTCGCTTCACCGATGGTCGTAACACTAAAAGTTGTCAAGGAGATCACACATATCATTATATCAGTTCACTGTCACAATTGTAGTATATCTATCTTCTTGAGTGAATGCGACCCATAAATATCTGGGTTAGAATTGGTCTTCAGCAATCCATGCTTGCTGTAGGGGGCGACTAGGCTTGTCGTTAGAGGCGACTAACGAATCGGGTGGTCAGACTCAGTGACTTGCTTGATGCATGTCATCATATCCCAGTTGCATAGATCGATGCTCAAGATGTCAATCACTGGATTGTCTCATCCAGATTTGATTATTGACAGTCTGCCGTCATATTGCAACAAACAAAGAAACTTTAGTAAATGTGTTTGGGGCTTAATGTGAAGATTTAGACAATTGCAGGTTGAATCTGTTTATTTATGATCTGAATTCACTAAACAAACAAACTCACTAAACAAACGAACCTCACCTCACCTTGTTTCACTGTTCTAGATTGACATATTACAGGTCGAATATTGGCTGGAATAGTGCTGACTTCAGCGTTTAACTATCAGACTGTGACTGAATTGGGGGATCAATATACTTCATCAGGAATTACAATGCTTATAGATAACAAATTACAAATCTTTGAAATATTATGATTCGTTATAAGAGACATAAATTCAAACAATACAAAACAATCACCCTAATGGTCATTATTTTTTATTGATAGGAATGGTGAAAAATATGTCATTGACCTTGGAACAAGTTCCTCTGCTGAAGGTCGGACCTTCTTGGGGTTCAGGGGTCATACTTGGTCAAGGCCAGGGATTGGTCATCACGTGTTCACATGTCATCAAGGATTCCCAGAAACATACAGGTAACTTCATGTGTACTTGGAACACCCTCTGCACTTAGGGGAATACTCGGAATTGCATAAAGCAGTCTTATTTGGTGCTAACACTGTTGTACCTCCCATGCTTTTAACATGTACTTACAATAGTTGTATCCCTGAGATGGCTTTGTGTAAGTAGGACCTGGTCTCCCTTCCATAAAAACGGTCTTAGCAGAACAACTGTTGAGTATGGGAGTTACGATCATCTTAGCACTACGTCACAAGTCAAAAGTATGCAAGTTGAGTGAGTGGGTGTGTATGGTTTTACGCCACTTTTAGCAATATTCCAGCCATATCACAGCGGGGGACACCAGAAATGGGCATCACACATTTAACCCATGTCGGGAATCGAACCTGGGTCTTCGGTGTGATGACTGAATGCTTTAACCACTAGGCTACCCGACCGCCCCAGTTTGCACGTTGAAATCGTCTTGGCAAAACGTTTACAAGTTACATTCGTCTTAAGCTACAACTGTTGAAAGTGAGTGTTAAAGTATGGGAGTTATGACCCTCTGAAGTTAAGACGATCGTAACTCCCATGTTTCATAGCGTACAACACTTGATAGATACATAGATCTAATGTACAATTTCAACCTATCAGGATGTAGGTCAGTGTGCCTGTGGTGATTGATGTTGACTGAATTTTAAAAAGTCCGGTTTGCACTATTTCAAATCGGACATTTTGCAGTCACAATCAGACAAGTCTGGCGCAGAGACCGATTTCCAGATCCCTGGTCTTCACGCTACAACTATTGTAAGTCAGTGTAAAAGTCTGGGAGTTACGATCGTCTTAGCTCCACAACTGTCATAAGTCAATATTAAAGTCTGGGAGTTACGATCGTCTTAGCTCCACAACTGTCATAAGTCAATATTAAAGTCTGGGAGTTACGATCGTCTTAGCTCCACAACTGTCATAAGTCAATATTAAAGTATGGGAGTTACGATCGTCTTAGCTCCACAACTGTCATAAGTCAATATTAAAGTCTGGGAGTTACGATCGTCTTAGCTCCACAACTGTCATAAGTCAATATTAAAGTATTGAAGTTACGATCATCTTAGCCCCACAACTGTCATAAGACAATATTAAAGTATGGGAGTTACGATCGTCTTAGCTCCACAACTGTCATAAGTCAATATTAAAGTATGGGAGTTACGATCGTCTTAGCTCCACAACTGTCATAAGTCAATATTAAAGTCTGGGAGTTACGATCGTCTTAGCTCCACAACTGTCATAAGTCAATATTAAAGTATTGAAGTTACGATCATCTTAGCCCCACAACTGTCATAAGTCAATATTAAAGTATGGGAGTTACGATCGTCCTAGCTTCACAACTATCATAAATCAATATTAAAGTATGGGAGTTACGATCGTCCTAGCTTCACAACTATCATAAATCAATATTAAAGTATGGGAGTTACGATCGTCCTAGCTTCACAACTATCATAAGTCAATATTAAAGTATGGGAGTTACGATTGTCCTAGCTTCACAACTATCATAAATCAATATTAAAGTATGGGAGTTACGATTGTCCTAGCTTCACAACTATCATAAGTCAATATTAAAGTATGGGAGTTACGTTTGCCTACTGGAATGGGTCCCTGATTAGGTATTTTTTACGGGTCTAAAAATATTAATGACCAAAACAGAAACATTGAAATGTCACCCACAAACTCCTGACATTTGACAAGTGTACCCAATTTATTGAAATATAAAACTGAAAATGAATACTGGATACAATGATGTGGATTGGTCAGTCTGCAACTGTGTACACAACCAAGCACCTGTTAAATACACAAGGGTTGTGTTTGTGAGTATTGTGGTCAAAATGAAAAACGACCCTCATATTTACATTCCATTTCAAACTGCTCTTCTCTGTGAATGAAAATACATGACAATTTGTAATTACTTTTGTAAAGAACACAAAACTTCCAGGCCGAGTTTGAATTTAGTTTTTGAAATTTTAAAGTCATCACAAAACATTTAAATATTTTTTAAACAAATGAGGTCCATCTTTGGCCAAATCTACACAGGTACTATTTAAATCTTCGAAGAAAAAGAGGAGTTGGGAGTTTTTTGCTTCTTAAAAATCACAACATGATAAACTGATACAAAAAAGAACATATTACTTGTTGGGCATATTCCCATTTTTTTAAATAATTTCTATAATATGATGTATTGATTAATTGTTGCAGTCCAGCTGCGGTCAGCACCTCACAGCCCATTGCAGAAGTGTCAGGTTCTGTACAAGAGTCCCACAGGGACACAGTTTGACCTGGCCCTTCTCTCATGCACCGGACTGGAAGCACACAAGAGTTGTCCCCCCTTAGCTTATCCAACAGAAGGTAGATTCATGTAGTTTTCTGTCAGTCATACGTACCAAGCATTCAAAAACACATCATATCATCCAAGCCAGGATATATCCTGCTATATACTACTCAAAAGAAGTTAAAGAACACCCAATTCTTTCCTATTAGTATAGGTAATCTGTCAGGCATGACATATGAATTATGGTAATATGAAAAAAATGGGTGTTCTTTACTAAATGGAATATGACTCTTTTTCCCCTAGTTTCTTGATGACTGCAATGATTTCCAATATTGATCTGGCAATGAGTTGCCTGTTAGTTTAAGCGTTCATTCGTCTTGCCGAAGGTCCAAGTTCGATTCCTCACCTTGGTACATTGTGTGAAGCTCACGTCTGACGTCCCTGGCTGGAATATTGCTAAAGGTGGTATAATACCATAGTTCCCCACCTGCCTGACTGTATGAGACTGATACTTGAGTATGAACAGCCCAAAGTGAAAATATTTCTGGACTGGCAACTTTTAACCACCTTGACTGGCAATTTTGTAGACTTGGCAGTTTGGCTGTAATTTATTTTTAAGGACTGGAGAGTTACGGGGGTATTCCCTTTCATAAAACACATCCCTACTCTTACACTTTGACACAAATTCTAAAGAGTTGTGAACTATGCATTGTACAGATCAGTTCGCGATGGAGCTTGGCCTCAAACTGTTGATATTTCAAGATTATGTGCAAGTTTCAATTTTCATAAATCTTCAGTATCAGGGTGCAACCTGGTTTTGTCTGGTGCAACTAGGTTTTCATGTCAGAGCTACAGAGCTTATTTGAAGGGTCTACAGAGCCGTGTACTATGATTGTTGTTCTTATTTGAAGGGTCTAGAGTTTATGTTGTGGGCCATGCTTCGTTTGGTGAAGAGCTTGACCTTCACCCTTCCGTGACCTCTGGCGTTATATCCAAGGTGGTCAAGGTGAACAATATTCCAGTCATGATTCAGGTGAGGTTCGCAAATTAATCTCCTCAAATAGTTCACTTTATTTGAAATGTGTCCAAAAACATATTGCTTAAACAACTGTAAAACAATGTTACCTGTAGTTTGCTGGTGTTAGTCTGCTTGAGGCTGTCTTCTGATGACTGCATATGATTTTCAGTCTGTCTGTCTTTAATGCCTGACTGTCTGTTTGTGACAGTGTGTTGATTGCTGTCTGTGGTTGACTGTCTAATAGTTTGTTTGTGACTGTCTGTTTGCGACTATCTACTGGTAACTGTCTGTTGGTAACTATCTGTTGGTAACTGTCTGATGGTAACTGTCTGATGGTAATTGTCTGTTGGTAACTGTCTGATGGTAACTTTCTGATGGTAACTGTCTGTTGGTAACTGTCTGACTGTTTTTGACTGTCTACTGGTGACTGCCTGACTGTCTGCTCGCTGTCTGTTGGTAACTGACTGTTTGTTAGTGACCGTCTGCAGCTCAATGTCTGTCTGTTCATGACTGTCTGCTGGTAGCGGTCTGTCTGCTGGTAACTCTAATTATTGATGACTGTAGACTGTTGGTGACTGTAGACTGATGGTGACTGTAGACTGATGGTGACTGTAGAGTGTAGACTGATGGTGACTGTAGACTGATGGTGCCTGTAGACTGATGGTGCCTGTAGACTGTTAGTGACTGTAGACTGATGGTGCCTGTAGACTGTTGGTGACTGTAGACTGATGGTGACTGTAGACTGATGGTGCCTGTAGACTGTTGGTGCCTGTAGACTGTTGGTGACTGTAGACTGTTGGTGACTGTAGACTAATGGTGACTGTTTCAGACAACATGTGCCGTCCACCCAGGTGCGAGCGGTGGGTCAGTCGTGGATGGCCAGGGACGTCTCCTGGGAATCGTCGTCTGTAATGCCAAGTATGTTGTCTGGCTTAATTATAAAATTATGTGTTTTCATATGGGAAAGTGTAATAAATAAATTGTAAACATGTACTGTAATCTGATTGGTTGAACAAGGTTCTTCTAAAGGATTGGAAGTGACAATCATTTTACAAATTCACATGTCCTATATTTTGGGGGTTTCATACTCAAGTAGTTTTGTCCTGAACTTCCTAATCAGCCAGTCAGCATCAAGGCTTTCACATTCTCATAATGAAGGAAGGCAGCATTGAGACAAGCATGTCCGATTTCTGTATCACAAAAAGCGATAAAATCTTGGAGTTCTAAATGAAAAACATAAATCAGTGGCATCACGTTGTGGATATTTATACACCAGGTTGTTTCTGGGCACTATAGCATCTACACGCAAAACGCTGTACTGTCAGGGATATTATGTTCTGTGGCAGAATTCTTTTTCTATTAAAATTTCTGCATTGAGGTAAATACTGAATCAGTATCTTATTGGCTGAAGTACCCATGCATCCTTCATTTTGATTGGTCAGTCAAAGTCTTCAGAGTTCACCTATGTGACCCCCTACGGAGGTGTCCTCAGATCTTCAGACAGGGAGGTGTCCCCGAGTAAAACTGAATGTGATTTACCCCAAGATTGACCTGTGGCACATTTGTTTATTGGAACAGGGACACGGACACAGGTGCGAGTTTCCCCCATGTCAACATGTGTGTACCCTTCATCACTGTGTGGCCGGTGCTTAAAGAATATATAGAGTCTGGAGGTAGGTCATAACATTACTCATAATTGTTTGTTTGTTTTTAACACTGCACTCAGCAATATTCCAGTTGTGTGACGGGGGTCTGTTAATAATCAAGTCTGGACCAGACAATCCATTGATTGATAGCATGAGCATCGATCCATGCAATTGAGATATGATGACGTGCATCAACCAAGTCAGCGAGCCTGACCACCCAATCCCGTTAGTTGCCTCTTACGACAAGCATAGTCGCCTTTTACGGCAAGCATGGGTTGCTGAAGACCCACTCTACCCCGGATCTTCACGGGTTTCTCATAATTAGGGGTGTGCGTTATAACTCGTATACCCGTATATTGCAGTACATCCGTCTGCTGTTCAACCCTTGTGTATCAATATTTTCCAATACAGTCACAGAAGAATTAGTATATAATTAAATTAATTATACCTACTATCTTGAGGCATTTGATGGACTGGGTTCCTATCTAAACCATGTAAACAGTACACGCTGCACGCTGTTTACAGTAACATTCCATATTGAAGACATAGATAGTCTTGTGTATCCATACAACCCTTCTCGCAATCTGAATTCTGGATTATTGAATGAAGAAGTACCATTTGAACATTTGAATTTGTGTCCCAATACATATTGCGATACCGTATTCGACGTAATAAGCGCCCAGGGTGCTCTCAAAATTAGGAATAGGGGGCTCTTATTAGAATATTATTTTGGTGAAAAAACTGTTGAAAGATAAATTTCATGGTTTATGCTGACAGCCTGAAATATTTATGTACGACAGATACATTTTTCCAGAATTTAATTCCCCATAATTAAGGGTACATATAGCACACGAGTGCGTATTATACGCGAATACCTAAGTCTTGTATACATTGATCAATCAGAAAGAGTGCTAATTGGGATTGTTCACTAGCCAATATATAAGCAAATATCGCCGTGGGGCTTATTATTACATCGAATACTGTATGTATCGCACATACAGCTCTCAGTATTGCGATATCAAACCCAGGGTTTGATGCAAAGGTCTTAGAATACCATGATAGAGTATTATCAGTTCCATTGAGTTGCAGGATTTGTTGTTCCTCACAAACATAACGAGGAGTTATTTCATATTTTTCAGATGCTAATGTTTTGAAATACCTCAACTTGAAGAATGCAGTCATCGACCGACTTTGGACTCTGGGAACGCCAGCAGCATCAGGTGAGACCCCAGATCTTGCATCACAAAGTGTCGCTTCATTCCTGTCATTCGCATCTTTTCGAGGCAAAGGAGTAAACTGAATATAAAAGTCCAGTTTCCACCCTTGCCAAACTAGGTTTCCATTTTATGGGTCGATCATAGCACCACCAGTGGCAGTTACGAGTTACGTCCCTCCCTTTAACCAATACGAATACACCTCTCATATATCACTTGCATTTGCTTCAAACAAAAAGGAGTCGCCCAGTCATAACAATCTGATCAAAATCTATATTGTTGTAAAACAGGTCTTACCTTGCGAAAAGATCTGAAGCCATCCCATTAGGGGTCACGTCAGAACGACCTTTCATCCGACCAATGAGAGCGTCGCTTACCAGATCATGAAAGTGACAGTCGGAATGTGATTTCTAATCATACAACCTCGAAAACTTTAACACAGGGTATTCAAACGATAGTTACAGGTTTAACATTTGAATCCATACAATCTAGACCATCTATTAGCATTCCAGAATGTTCTTTTGTTTAGGTTTCAAATTTGTAATCGAGAATTTGTCAAAATATGTTTCGGAGCGTAGTCGCCAATTTGAAATTAGTGCCGTAGAGCACGAAAAAGCCGCCTCCTGATTGGTCATTCTATTGGTCGGTCAAAGTTCGTGCAAGGTCAGTCTGACATGACCCATAATGGGATGTCCTTTGTTTAGTGGTAGCAGATCTTTGTTTAGCGGTAGTGAGAACCAAGGTCTGATTTTAATGAGATTGGATTATTTTACACCCTGCCATCATATAGCTGGATTATTGCTGAGTGCAGCATTAAACAACAAACCTTTTCGCAGAGAAAGAATACAATTGTGTTGAATGGACATTTTGGTGCCACCAAGACCAATATGTATCAGTGCATGTTTACGTTTAATCTGAAGTCTACTGCAAATGATCAAAGTGACATGACATAGTTGTATTCATGTGACAAGGCAGTAGAATGAGTCAGAAAATAGTTTGTGAGAAACAGTTATTCATGTATAATTCTTCAATGCTCAGTCTTCAAACAATAATACCATTCAATATGAATTTGTAGACAAAATATTTACTTGTATCAAAAAATGCTTCCTTTGTTTTCAGAAGCCTGTTTAGCAACAAGCCATTTATGAGAATGAATTTCACCAAGGCATGAAGAGTTGTCCCCCTTAGTAGAATCAGCACGGCACAGATGTTCAACAATATGGCTGTCAGTTGCTCTTTTGATGAATCAAACATCATTAAGATTTTTACAGTTATTGTTACAAGCATTATTCTAATATCACTTGCTCCAGAAGCTGAGAATTACTTTGTGTACTTTTGAAGAATTACAAATGTTGGGGAATGTCTGTCTGGAACAACCAAACAGAACATGCCATTCATTAATGTATGAGCTTACATCAGTAGCTAGGTATTATAAAACTTTCTGGACAAGTTAAAGAGTTAATTATGATGACCAGTTCAAATTTGATTTAGCTTATAAATATAACAGGGACCATGCTATTTTGATTTGATTGTATTCTCTCCAGCATGAATCAAAGCAGTGCGTTGTATGGTGACGGCCAATAAGCAGAAACACGTCAGATTTCATAGTGAATGTGAATTATCAAGTGTTCAAGTATATATGCCTATTTATTATTTAAAATAATCAGTATTTTTATGATTAACTGGTACATATATAGGTGATGAGTTTTTAAGATTTTTAAGGTTTGGTTCTATCACAGGAGACCTGGAACTATATACAGATGCTATGTTTATAGTCATATATATGCATACAGACACAATTTGTTTGGGTAAAATCAAGATGATTATTCCTTAGCTTGTTTATACATGTTTTATCATGAACTCATGATATATATATTACATTGTTGTATACAATCTGTGATAAAATTATTTTCACAATGTCTTTTTCCTTATTTCTTCATACTGCTTGACACTGAGGAGAGCTTGAAGTAGCATACACAACACCTGTTCTAGTTTTTCCAACAAAGTCTGCCCGTCCGTCCGTCCGTCCGTCCGTCCGTCACGTTTGTTTCCGGAGCATAACTCAGAAACTGTTCAATATTTTTTCATGAAACTTTGCAGGTCTGTCAAGTACATGCTGAACTGGTGGTACCTTTTGCTATTTAGAAATTTTAGAAATTTTTATTTTTTACGTTTCCATGCCAACAAGATGGACTTGATTCCAAACTGTTCCCATTTTTACAAGTTCCACTTCGGTTAAAAAAAGGTTAGGGTTTGTTTAGATTTAATTATGTCATAAATTCTGCAACAGGGGCGGGGGATATAGCCACGTTAATGGCAAACTCTTGTTATTTCTTTTACTGGTTATGTCGACTTTATCCTTGTGTATCAGTGTGTATCACTGTATCCAAAAAAAGACAGCCATGGGTAAGAATAGGTCCCCAGAAACCCCTGTTGTGGTGGTAAGAGGCGACTTAATAGATCAGTGGTTGGGATTGGTTGATAGGTTTTCGGAAACAGATGGAATATTGGTAAGGAGGCCAAAAAATGGGGTTTAACATCGCGTCCAAGATTATTGCACTTTTATAGAGACGTGTGTGTGTGTGTGTCTGTCTGTCTGTCTGTCTGTCTGTCTGTGTCTGCTTGTACTAGTCCGGACTGATGCCGATTTATAGTGCTAGCCCACTCAGATACCATGCCGCAGTTTAACATACCCCACTCAGACACAGTATACTGACTCCGAGCCGACCAGTCCTTGTTTTAGCCCCTTAATGCCGAGCACCAGACAGGGTAACAACAAGTACCATCTTTTAATGTCTTTTGGTATGATGAGGCAGGGGATCGAACTACGGACCTTCCTCTCCAGGATGACGCTCTACCACTAGACCATGGAGGCGGTCCCTTTCAGAAGAGGCATTTGATTGATTGTTGATTTCTAGCTGATGAGGATGTCTGTGCTATATTCTGAAACAAAGCTATGTAACGGTAGCTAAATGGTCCAGAGTATATATCACAGAATGGAGATGATAGTCAAGGATGTCAGGACCCATGCAGCCATGAAAAGCCACATGAGGTTTCGGTAACAGTGAGTGAGTCAGTTGGGTTTAACACCGCTTTTAAGATTATTCCAGTTATATCGCGGCGCGTCAGCTTAATGTGGGAGGAAAGCCCGAAGTGATGCAGGTCTCTGACGTTAACCACTTCGGTGAAACCCATGAGCATGGGTATGGTGCTGACAAACCTAGAATCATAATCGGGGTTAACCGGGATTCGAACCCACAATCATCGGTTTCTGGCGTGCCCAAGGGACGCAACTCTGCACAGCGAATCACGGCGCCTTAGACGACTGGGCCACCCGTGCCCCGTTTCAGTAACAACAACAAGCAACAAATCTAGTTAGACTGGCATCACTTATGATGCAGCATGTTTATTTCCATTCTAAATGTTACTATTAGTATAAGCCCAAGCATTCAGATAAAGCTATCAATGCCACAGCACCTTGGTCTATACATCAGTCACATCTCCCCTGTATGTGATAACAAGTGAATGACAAACTGAGGGGATACTTTTCTATTTTACAGTTTACAGATTGGACAAACCAGACCCAAAAACCACCATTTAAGAAGAAGACAAACATTTTTGTTAAGTTTCATTTGCCTGGCCTCTCAATCCTTTTGAATTATCAAATAGAAAAGGTACTTGAATTTGGCAAGATTTTTGTAATTGTTAGTATCAACTTCTTAAATAGTAATTAATTATATATAGTCACTGACCACTGCAAGATTTTCATAGAACAAAGCCTTTTAACAGTATTAGTATTTACCCCAATTAACCAACTCACAAAAACAACGTAACGGTATGCCAAATAAAATTTGACGGTATTGAACTAAGTAATCATTAGCGAGTATTTTGATTTGTCAGTAAAATCTGTAAACCGTAAAATGTACAGTGTGGCCTGAATAGGGTACTGATGATATAGATACCTTGGATGAAAAGATGAAAATGATCCAGCATAAACTTCAATATATCCATGGATGACTTTAAGGCACATATTCAAAATTAGTCTCCAGTGTTTCATATTTTAACAAATAAACTCCAAATTGTTCAGGAAATCAATAGATATGGTCGATAGGCCATGAGTAAAACAAAAGGTACCCTTCATAATACAGGTCATCGAAAGCATGAAGATATTTTTAAAGGTAATCAACAATTTTTCGACCTTGTCTGGTTTAACATCTGTATGTAAGTTAATAATAGCTCAATAGAGTTTCATCTGGATTAGCTGTCTGCAATTTGAACATATCTGATAATATTTATACAAACTTTAAAATTTGAATTTCATCAACGTCCCTTCTCCTACCTCGACCACTTAGATCAATTGAGAATTGACGAAAGTGTCAACAACCTGAAATAGGTACCGCTGGCCTTCCTTACTCATGAATGAGTGTTTTCAGATAAAAAAAACTGGATGCACACAATATCCCACATTCCACTCCCATACCTAGCACTAGGGGTAAGAACAAAACCATTCCCTAACTCCCTCCAATAATACCATCGAAGTAGGTCAGTACTTGCAGTACATACACAATGGAAGCAGAACACGTAAGATATGATTGATAATACTAGAAATATCACATTGGAAATGTACACACATTTTAAAAATCTATACAATTATATTTTTTTTCATAAAAAACTGTTGAAAAAAAATATTTAGTTTTTATATTACAAAAAAGATACAATAGGAGATACTCAGCTATACATATACATGTTATTCACTATATAAATAAGGTAAAAATGTAACATACATGTCCTTTAGGAAATATGGACTCTACAAATATGGGTTGGTAGGTATTTTTGTTTTGTTTTATTAAATATATATTTTGATAATGTGTAACTCAGATGACTTGCTTAGAACCGATGGTCAAAATATCTACAGCTACGATATGTGGAAATATCCATGTTTTTTTCAAAATGTTAAATATGGTTTCTTGATAGGTGTTTCCAGCTGTGATGAAAAGATTTGGGTCACAAATTAACGAATGGGTGGGTCGGTTACCTGAAACAATAGTATTTATAGTGGCCTAAATAAGTCATAAACATTTTAATTTTGAAAAATATACTAATTTCTTTTTTAATTTATACAACCACATTATTAACCAGTCCCATGTTTGAAAAGTGATATTTCAAGGGACTGTGTTTCCAACAATATCTGAGCAAAAACATACCACTTCTTTTGCATGAAATATTCTAATACTGCATCTGTAAATGCATTTTGTCAAAGACTAGAGTTTGTCATGGTGAAAACTACTTCAACATTGAACATCTATCAACAGATCCTGGTGACATCTCAAAGGGGTTGGGTGTGATAGTGGTCTTCTTTGGCCCACAAGATATGCAGAATTTGAGGAATTTAGGAAACCTTGATTAGTCAGTGTGAGTTGTATTTAACGCCGCTTTTAACAGTATTCCAGTCATATCACAGCGTGTCAGCTAAATGTTGGAGGAAAGCCCAAAGTGATGCAGGTCTTTACCACTTGGGTGAAACCCACGAGCACGGGTATGGTGCTGACAAACCTAGAAACATAATCAGGGCGAACTGGGATTAAAACCCACAATCATAGTTTTCTGGCATGCCCAAGGGAGGCAACTCTGCACAGCAAATCGTGGCGCCTTAGACGACTGGGCCACCCATGCCCCCTAGTCAGTGTGAAATGTGAGTGAGTGAGTTTGGTTTTACGCCGCTTTTAGCAATATTCCAGCAATATCACGGCGGGGGACACCAGAAATGGGCTTCACACATTATACCCATGTCGGGATTTGAACCCGGGTCTTCGGCGTGACGAGCTAACGCTTTAACCACTAGGCTACCCGACCACCCCCTATCAAATGTGAATGAATGAAAATAAGATCTTTTCAACCATTGCACACTCAGGACTCTCAAGACAACACTAAACACATAGGTAAGGTTAGAATGGATCAAAAAGGCTGATTGTGGAGGTTTTCAGGAAGTGTTCTTCTAATACACAGTGTATATGAGCAAGTCTTTGACCCAAGCAAATTTTTAAAGGACATGTAGATAAAAACAGTATAGATCTATTGTAACAATCCTGGGTCACAGATTTGGTCGCAATTAGATATTAATTTGAAGTTTGAAAACCCCTGTCTTTCACTTATTTTAGCCATACTTACGCATTTGATAATTTCACAAGTCACAAATAGGACATGTGTAATGATATATAAAGGCTGTCAACCATTTCAGCATGTCTGATAATTTGTATACCAATATTTTTAGATTTTTATAACTTTGACAATTTTAGTGGGCCAAATAGGATGCTTATCCTAACTCATCCTTTCTTAGATCCCTTAGATTACTACAGAAATTTGTCTGAGATTAAAATTGTCAACATAAATCCTTTAATTGTTATTGGTAGTATCACCTAAGAAATTGAGATTTCCATACATATGAATAATTTTTTATCTATCCAGTAGAATATCCATTGCTAGTAACATTAACTAAAAAACAGCTTGGATTGGATACATCCTTTGTATTTAACATAATCTAATTTAGTGTACACAAATTTACTTCTGACCAAGGCATTACATTTATTAAATAAACTGATTATTAGATTTTCATCCCTTAGACACATTGTTAAAAGGTTTTTGTTTTTTTAAATCAAAATTAAAATGCCTGCTGCCTCATATTTTTTAACAATTTGGATGAAAATATACAAATGAATTAATTCAGGCCTTATGAAAATTAAGGTTTGTTTTGTTTTTTTCATTATTAATCCTGTATAAAAAAACTCTTATGAAGATGATTGCTTGACACAACTGAACAAAACTTTGAACAAAATGAAATGCCTTAAAAATTGGGGAAAAGCAAGCAAAATTCTCAAAAACAATTTCTCCCTTTAACACAGGCATGAAATACAAACACAGGTTAGTCACCTTGGCACCATCGTGGCATAAGAACAAAATAAATTCAAGGGAAAGACTATTGCTGCACACTCCCCAATTATCCAGTGCATAGAATCTCCATTTGTTATGATAGGGAGCCACCATAGCTTGGGAGTCCAGTTTGATTGACAGATTCCACAACATAGGTGTCCAATCAAATGACACTGTTCCTCCATGATTGACACAAGTGGCTGGTACTTGACTCCTCCTCTTGTTGCTCAAACATCACCGGAACACCTTGCAGTAAACGACACCCTCTTAATAGTCATGAAAACATCTTTTCCCGCTAAAATTTAATTCATAACAGTTTTCTGACTTAACAAAACATATGATTGGTTGTAGAATTCAAGCCCAAAAGCAAAAGAACCCCTGAGAAAAATTGGTAATCAGAGAAATAAAGATGGTGGCGTCACTTCCGAAATGAAGCTCTGGTGGCAAAAGGGTGCTTGTTTATCATAATAGACTGGGGATATAATACCCTGGATGACTGGGGATGGGTAAGGCTTCTTGCCTTGTATTTGGCATGACATGGAAACGCAGTGGCTATTATAGAGCCAGGATCATAAAATATTCGCAGTCAACTCAAACAATTCTCACAAATTACAGCAACAAAAAGGGAAACAGTTTCAACACAAATTGGTTAATGGACACCAGAACTGGGTTCCGAGGTTTGAGCTAAACAATTCAGGACAAATTGAAGAAGCCTAAATAAGGAACATGTTTGGACTGTGCCAAAACCTTTGAGCCCACTAACTCAGAGTGTTGGCAACAGTTTCAATATCTTTTAATGAACTCAATAGACAGAAGAAATATTACTAGATGCGGGCATCAGACCAGTGGCTCAAATAGCAATGTGCACTGTAATATACCTTTACCTAGTTTACCTTTCATCATCATATTTTCATCTCCATATTTGTGTTAGTTTGTTTGTTTGTTGTTTAACGCCGCACTCAGCAATATTCCAGCTATATGACAGTGGTCTGTAAAAAATCAAATCTGGACCAGACTATTCAGTCATTGACATCATGAGCATCAATCCACGCAATTGGGATACGATGACATGCATAAACCAAGTCAGCGAGCCTGACCACCTGATCCTGTTAGTCTCCTCTTATGACAAGCATAGTCACCTTTTACGGCAAGCATGGGTTGCTGAAGACCTATTCTACCCTGGATGTTCACGGGTCCATATTTATGACTGCTATGAGGGATGGAGACTAATGCTGCATCAGCAAATGGAACAAAAACAGAAATATCTTTACTTATGACTATCAGTTATATTCATAGATATTTCTATACTACTGCTGAAAGTATCAATAACTTTTTAACTGACCTCGAGTCCGATATTCAAAGCTGTCTTGTCATACTGTTGTACCACTATATAAATATTTTAACAAGCCAAGTGTATTATGACCAAGAGGAGGTATGAGAAACATGTCAACCAAACCTACCCATAATCAGGAACTTGTGGACATGATTTGTGTACTTTCTTCTCTTTGATGTTTTTAATTACATATTTACATAAACCCAGTAAGACCGATCACAACTATATGAAATATTCAGTGTATCATGGTATACACAACACTATGAACAGTTATCTGGCCAACTTGCAATCATTATTTTGTTCAAAATTCAGATTTTGTCAAAGGTTTTTCTTAAATAGAGGTATCTGAACAGTATTTTCACATACAGTGGAGTACTGCAAAGCTTTGCATTAGCCTTGCCTCTTCCTCCCTATTGGACCTGTTATTAGTGTTATACAAGCCAGCTCTACAAAACCATGTTAGTTCATATAACAATATTAGCAGGAATGTAAATTTTTTATGTCCAATTTGGGAACATTAGCTCCTATTTGTTGTAGACTTTGGGCCAAATATCTGCCTCTGAGTAGGTCTAGACAACTAGACAACTCCCTGATACCACTGGCCCCCTGTGCCCAAGCCCCTTACCAGTAACCAGCCCTACTAAGACCACTTTGGTATCACCTCCTTTCTGGGAGGAGTGCTACACCTACAGTTGGTCTGTATACAAGACACTACGGTATCACAGTGAAAATGAAAGGCTAATTGCTAAAGCTGTTGCTCATCATCTGGAATCATCTGAATCGTCAGAAGAAGTGTCGCTTGAACTATCCAAACTTTGGTTTGCGTAGGACAGAATGCGTGCATCACGAACAGATTTCTGAATCTGGTGTCGATACGTCAACCGAGGGATCTCGGCGGACCCCGCTCGAAACAAAGTCTTTTGTCTATCAATATTTCTCCGCTGTTGGGCAGCCCTTGGTTTAGAAGATGGCTGAATGGGAGGCCTGTTGTACACCTGTCGAGTGGAAACGCCGTTTGACGGTTTGCGCAGTGCTTCCCTTGAACTTGTCCTCTGGGAAACTAGATTTGTTGCGTTGGGAGTAATTCTCTTGTTTTTTTCACCGACCTTCCCATCATTAATACTCGAAGATTCAGAAGATGGGGTTGGGGTCTGGTCTCTTTGACGAGACCCACGAGTACTAGGTCTATTCGAGTCAGGTACAGACCGTAAAGATAAAGAACTACGTCTATCAGGTATATCCCTCTTTCTAGACTCAGTAGGTTTTAATTTTGTTTGTGAGCGGGTCGTAACACCACTGTTATTTTTCACACTCGGCTTCATCCATGCTCCTTGAGTTGGTTTCCTATCCGTAACCTGTGCGTTCCCCTTCGACAGGGTTGTACCAAATTTTCGAGTTGGTGGGTCCGTTTTAATCCCTCTAAATCTTGTGTTATTTCGCTGTCCGTTGCCCAAGCCAGACTTCTTCTGAGGTTTGTCATCGTCTGATGAGTCACTTTCGGTTGTGGAAGACACACTGTCGCTGCTGGAGAAGTAGAAGTTGGCACGGAACAAATCCAGGCGAGCTTTCTGCCGCCAGATGCTGGCATAAGGCTGGTCGGGTTTACTGGCTGGACTTGGGCTCGTCTTCACTGGGGCTGTGACAGGGTTGCCCTGAAACACACAAGATTATTACATTTAGATAGCAAATAGTTTCCTCCATCACCCATGGATACATATGGCAGCTTTGTGGTGTAGTCGCTATTTGTAAGAAGGTAATCACGGCTTGGTTCCTGTGAGGGGGACAGTTAATGCTGAGACTGAGCACTCAGCCTACGTAATGTCACACACACTGCGATGTTTCTTGCTTGACATGCGAAACATTGTAGCTGTCTGCTCTTCACATCATCATCATCATCATCATCATAATAATAATAATAATAAGTGCATTCATATTGAGCCAGATTCCATTCACCAAGTGGATGCTCATAGCACTACACTATTATTACCCCGGTCAATGGATCAGTGAGAACCCAATTTTCATTCTCAGCTCCCTGGGGAGTATACAACCCAAGCTGCCTGTAAGGCACTAGAAGGTAAACAGCCACATTACCATCTCATCCTACCGGGTACCCACTCACTGCTGGGTGAACAGAGGCAAATTTCGAACAAAGTCACTTGCCTAAGGAGACACCACATGTGGTTCATGTGCTTCAGTGTGGGGCAGGACCGAAGCCCTAGAAACTCTCAGGAGTCAAGCTGCTGAAAGTGGTCACCCACCCAACTACACTACGAGACTGACGTTGCTTAACTTCACCTGATTTGTGATCTGTGCGCTGTGCACAGGACCACGTGCCACCACATAGCTAGATGGAGGGCAAAATGGACATGTGTCACTACTACACCACATAGCAGCCTCATGTTTTCACAGGTAATGGAGGCTGTCAGTCAAAGCCATGAAGTGTAGTCGATGGATAGCTCTAAACAATTCAAATCAGAGAGCTATAGCAATTATGTACATTGATTTCTAACCATTTTATGCAATGTTAAACCTCAATTTCAAATTATTCAGGGATAGGAAATTATTCTGAGTTGTAAAAACAGCAAATTGTTAACAGTGTTACTATACATTTTACAAAGCACCATAGCAAAGCTATAATCATGAAAATGAAAACACTAATCATTTTATTGTTAAGCAAAATCAAGGAACACAATTTGTTTTCATGAATCAAAGAAATTTTGTCATACATTTTCATGTTTCAGAGTAAAAATCTGATCAAATAAATGCTCAGTGTCATAACATAATATTCAGGTTTAATTTCATTGTTTTAGCTGATATATTTAGCTGATACAGATATTTGAATCCTGGACTTATTTTTAATTTCAAATTAATGATCACACAGATCAAATGGATGTAAATAGATATGAATAGATATGAACAGACGTTAATAGACATGAATAGATAAGGAGGGAAGTCACCGCAAACCATGTGGTTTACATCCAAACTCTTGCATGCTCTTATAATGACCATTCCTCTCTCGGTAGGGTGTTAGTAGCATACAAGTAGACGGGGTCAGTTCAAACAATCTCATTAAATCAGATCTTTGTAGTCACTACTGCTTCACCACAGAACATTTCATTACAGGTCAGGTCAAAACGACCTTATGCAAACTTTGACCGACAAATGAAATGTTGTCAACATTAGCACATCAGACAGCACGAGAAAGCTGCCTTCTCATTGGTCATTCCATTGGTCGGTCAAAGTTCGCAAAAGGTCATTCTGACGTGACCCGTAACGGGATGTCCTCAGATCTTTGTTTAGCTGTAGCGAGAACTAAGATCTGATTTTAATGAGATTGATACAAGTTTGATATACACCTGTACCATTGTATTAACTGATACACCATGCAATATAAGGGAATACACAGGTGCCATTACCACACACTTGTGCCAATATTAGGATGACAGGATGATACAGAACTGGCATATATCATGACAATCAGTCAAAGACAAACATAAGGGACATAACATGTCAAATGTGGTATTTGTTGAGTTGAGATATTATAGCAAAGATGATGATTTTTCACATGTTATCAGAGGTCAAAGGTAGACAAACTATTAGTCTCTACAAATATATAATTTGGAAGGAAACAAGTACCTACATTTAAATTGAAAAGGAGCCCCAGTGAGATGGGAGTAGAATATCTAGACTTGCTTCATTTAGGGAAGGAAAAATAAAATGGGCTTGTGAGAGTCTATGGTTGATGGACACAGTTTCTGACAACACTTCTTGAATATATGGACAAAAACTATTCAATATTTAATCATTTAGGCAACAAGGACTCAATTATTTGGTTTTAAGTTTCTTTGGACCAAAGACCATTTAAAAAAATAAAAATTCCGAATGCTCTTTGATGGATGAGAAAAATACAAAATACAACCAGTTTGACAAATAGTACCTCATACAACCTGTTGAATAATTAATCAGCAACATTGTATCCTATGTAGTCTGTGACCACTGAATGTTTGTTTGTTTGTTGTTTAACCCTGCACTCAGCGATATTCCAGCTATATGATGGCGATCTGCAAATGATTTGAGTCTGGATCAGACAATCCAGTGATTGACATCATGAGCATTGATCTCTGCAATTGGGATACGATGACATGTAGCAACCAAGTCAGCGAGCCTGACCATCCGATTCTCTTAGCAAATGGTTAGTCGCCTCTTATGACAAGCATAGTCGCCTTTTAGGGCAAGCATGGGTTGCTGAAGACCTATTCTACCCGTGATCGTCATGTATTTGCTTGTTATTTGTAACTCCTGAGCAAATCTTTCGTGGTACATTCTAAAACTACATTGACCTTTGAACCAGTACCATGATATATGCCTGTGCTGATACATCATACATCAGTGCCGCTATCATGACAGACACTCGAGGGACCATGCATTGTACATTTAGGTGTATCGATACACTGCGACTGACCCAGCATTCAGTCACCGAGCTGGTCCCGCCATGCAGAGACGCCACGTTCAAATTACAGTACGACTGAAAATCAAGATCCTACATTTGTCAGTGTTAGTGAATATTTTCATAAATGATTAAACAAATGTTAAGCTTAAATGACGGTTGATAGATATGATTTCAATATTTTACAATTATGAATACACATCGCCAATATTAAGATATTTGAACATGAGCAGTCTTTGATGTAGGCTGATTTCCTTCGATGTAGGTGGTTAAAATTAATCTTGGGTCACAGATTTACTCATAGTTTCTCCGGAAGTTTGTAAATTAGTCCATTTAATTCATTAAACTCATGCTGTCCTAAGCTATATCAACAGTTGAAAACATGACATTCTAAATAGAACAAACAGTTATGTGTAACAGGCATTGTGCAATATTTTCCATTCTCATTCTATAGTTTGCTGAATACATTCTCAATTTGTAGAGTCTAGGACACAACTCTTTGCATCTGGTAAGGGAAGGATGAGAGATGTGAGGTCATTGGCCTAGCTGTTATTGAGCTTCATCAATTCACATAACATCCCGGATGACTTTCAAGACATGAAATCAATGCTGACTGAACGTTACAGTCACTGATGGTAGACAAGAGTAGAGATAGAGAGTGTGTGAGTGAGTGAGCTTGGTTTAATGCCTTTTGAACAGTATTTCAGTTATGTCACAGCATGTCAGCTTAAGCGAACCTCAGGAGCACATTGAGTGAGTGAATGAGTGAGTTGGGTTTAACGTCGCTTTTAACAGTATTCCAGTTATATCACGGCATGTCAGCTTAATGTGGGAGGAAAGCCCGACGTGATGCAGGTCTCGGACGTAACCGATGAGCACAGGTATGGTGCTGACAAACCTAGAAACATAATCGGGGCGAACCAGGATTCGAACCCACAATCATAGGTTTCTGGCTTGCCCAAGGGACGCAACTCTGCACAGCGAATCGTGGCGCCTTAGACGACTGGGCCACCCGTGCCCCCCTCAGGAGCACAGAGATGGTGCTGGCAAATCTAGAAACATTCGGGGATTCGAACCCACAATCATAGGTTTCTGGCGTGTCTAAGGGCATATCTGTACAGTAAATTGAGGCGTCTGAGACAACTGGCCCACCCATGTCCACACGAGAGAGGCCCGTCCAACACAAAGTGAGTGAGTGAGTGAGTGAATTTTGTTCCTCATCATTGTCAGCAGTATTCCAGCTACCAGTATTTCACAGCAGCTTGTGAACCAGTGATTGAAAGCATGAACCATCAGTACACAATGCCCTGAAATCAGGTCACCCAGTCTAAACATCCCATTGACAGGGTAAATAAATTAGCAGTGAACCAGGTTTGTTGTTTCAGAATATCAATCAGAAACGGAACCGAGGATCTGAACCCAAGACATGACGCATATGTGAAGAGCTGTAGGTAATAGTTATGTCAGTCCCAGATAAATTCTGCGATAGAGTAATAAAACTCTTGAGTAAAATCATCAGAATTCTGCAGTAAAAACATAACCATTCCCTTCTCCTGCATCTCTTGCCTTCAGACATTTCAGGTTTGGTTAACAATTGAACTTTTTAACACCACAAGAACGTTTAAAAGTGACAACTATATATTTCAAATTTACGTTTATTGTAGGATTCATATTTCATATGTTAAATGTTTGGGTATCAGTGGAGTGCAAAATTTGATTAGAAAAGCTGGAAAATAATGCAAATTAGTGTCTTAATTGGCCAAAAAAATGTGTGATATTTCTGCAATTCTGCAATAAGTTACATTTTCTGCAAATCTTTCCATGATAGCGGAATCGCAGAATTTGTCTGGGAATGATATGTATATGAACCACTACCAGAATCCATTGAAAAATAAAAATAAGAAAAAAACTTTAAAACCACAAAGTAATAAACATTACTAAATTATAAGCACTAAGCTTCTAGCTCCAAACAAAAGCAGTAGCCACATTCCAGTCAGTAGCCATATCAATCAGATTTCAAAACTGTTCACAATTTCATCATTAAGAATAATGACTTTTAAATAAGACTTTATAATTGTACCAGGAAGAACTGCAAATAGATTACCTCTGGGAAATGAGCGAGTGAAAGTTGATGTTCATCGCAGTCAGTAATATTCAAGTTATACCACCATGTATTCGATCGAGTCAGACTGACCGATTTGGTTGCCAGCACCAGCACCAGCCACAGCCACAATACACAACAAGTACAGGGTGTCCCCATATGGATTGAGAGAGTAAGGGTTGATTTAACTGCTGGCCCATTGGCTCGTGGCAAGTTAAAATTACAAAGGGCTTGCTGAAACGTAAAGTAGATGGCCTGTCTAGCCAGTCAGAATTTTCCCTCTTCTCCATGTATTTTTCATTTATTAACTGGATCATCTCGGTAGAATGACAACTGGCCACCATTTTGTAATGTTGTGTATGACAACTTCTTTATTTGCTCAAAAATCATCATGAAGTGAAGCAAATGGTAGCCAAGATTCAATCTCAGATTGCATGAAAAAATGGTTTAGGGGTGAGGATTAGTATAGACGATGGGGGTACGCCGCCACCCCACGCTAGTCTATGCTACTTGAGTTCTAAAATTTTCAGAGCTCTGCTAGGTGGCTATGTGACCTCAGGTTCAGCCAACATTTAGTTGTAGGCCAGTTACTTTAGAGAAGGGCCAGTATCTTTTAAAAGGAGAAAGTCCTGCTGGCTACATGCACATTTGTTGTTACCGTATTCGACGTAATAAGCGCCACGCTCTAATAAGCGCCCATATTTGCTAATATATTGAATAGCTAGTGAACAATCCCAATTAGCACCCCTTCCGATTGATCAATGTACACAAGACTTATTTATTCGTGTATAATACGCACTCGTGTGATATATGCACCCTTAATTATGGGCAATTAATTTCTGGAAAAAATATCTGTCGTGTATAATACGCACAGGCTTTTCTTTTGTATCATTTCAGGCTGTTAGCATAAACCACGAAATTTACGATCTTTCAACTCACGACTCATTTTTTTTCTCACGAAAATTATATTCTAATAAGGGCCCCCTATTTCTAATTTTGAAAGCGCCCTGGGCGCTTATTACGTCGAATACGGTAAATCTGCCCCTGTTAAGCCATCACATCAAGCGGTCTTTGTCATAACCCTATTTTAAGAAGTTAAAGATATAAGGGATCCCATATTCAAATACCACAGTGAGTGAGTGAGTTGGGTTTTACACCACTTTCAGCAATATTCCAACAATATCACATGCAGGACACAAGAAATGGGCTTCATAAATTAATCCCACGGGATTCGAAACTAGGCTTTCGTTGTGACGAATAACCACCTAACCGCAAGGCTAGCCCCCCCCCCCCCCACAAACCAAACACCCTGTGAATGCATGGGCAATAACAGCATTGACAATGGAAGCAGTAGTGGTGGTGATGGAGGCAATTGTGACAATGGAGGCAGTGGCAGATTGTGAAGCAATGGTTGATGCTGTGGAGGGATGGATGAATGCAGGTTTGAATACAATCTATCATATCAGAAAAACAATCATTTTCTCCTTGTATTAGTATAGGCAAAATAGTGATAGTCTGTATTATATATCTTTCTTTAAAAACATAAATCTTACATATGACATGCTACATATAGACTGTTCTATTTTGTTTTATAGCATCCTGCAAAATATTATTATGAAATCCATTAATCCTTTAAAAACAGTCAACCAAGTCACGAAATCTGACCACCGGACCCATTCTGTCGCCTCCTACAACAAGCAAAGGTTGCTCTGGACCTATTCTACCCAGATCATCGACATTTACTAGTGGTGGATAGTGCTGACAAACCAAACATCATAATCAGGGTGAATCGGAACCTGCAATCATAGGATTCTGGCACAGCTAAGGGATGCAACTCTGCAGCGCAAATTGAAGCAGCTGAATGACTTGGCACTCAATAGATAAAACAATGTTTGCTTTATTCATTCAAATTTCCTTGTCAGAAATTACTACAGTCAAATAGAGAACAATGTATCATTTTATCATGTTGGATTTGACAGTGATCAAATAAGTCGATTATACAAGCTTAAATGTGAACTATGAACATATTTTATCACAGTGAAATAAACATGATGAAATGTATTATTTTAACATGCTTGAGTGCATGGAATATGTGTACTGTTCTCTCATGCTTCAGTGAATTGACAAATATTGTTACGAGATGGGATTGTAAAAGAAATCCAAAAGATTATTTCATAATGTGGGATTTCACCATGCTTGACTGAGCTATTCCCATGACATTTTTTACCATGCTTGACTATTATCTAACATACGACATGCTTGACAGTCACCATATTATTCCAAGAATTTTACAAATACCTGAACTACACATACTCTGAAAAGAAAAACAGAAATAAATTGATAAACTTCAATGAGAGAAAAAAGATCCATATTTAACGGTTTGTATAGGGTCCTCCATCAGATGCCGATGTGGTGTAGGTGTGATGCATATCTATTTTCTGTCCAGTAATGACAAGAGGCTGTGTATAATCACTTCAGTCTAATGAGCTCCACTCAGTGCTTGAACAGAACCCTACCATTGCCTTAAGCTGAAGCAAGGTGTGGAGTCGAGGTTGGTTGATGGTTTGTTGTTTAACGCCACACTCAGCAATATTCCAGCTATATGATGGCGGTCTGTAAATAATCGAGTCTGGAGCAGACAATCCACTGATTAATATCATGAGCATCGATCCACACAATTAGGATCGATGACAAGCATCGATCAAGTCAGCGAGCCTGACCACCCGATCCCGATCGTCTCTTACAACAAGCATAGTCGCCTTTTAGGGCAAGCATGGGTTGCTGAAGACCTATTCTACCCTGGATCTTCATGGGTCTGGAGGCTGCGAGTCTGTGACACCTGTTGCACAAGCGATATTGCCGTTCTCGCGATGGCGGGCCACTGGTGCTCTCGCTGGAATCAGACTGGCATGACATGTTGGCCACAAATAGTGATACACAGCACAGCAGCAGTTTGTACTCATGGCTGATGGAGGAGCGTTGTTATACAAACCCAAGATGAACTGACGATGATAGAGGTGAGCTGAAATAGCTCACTGAGATTCCATGCCGCAGTTTAACATGAATACCCAACTCAGACACAGCATACTGACTCCGAGCCGACTAGTCCTTGTTTTAGCCCCTTAATGAGCCAGGCAGGGTAACAACAAGTTCCATCTTTTAATGTCATTTGGTATGACACGGCCCTTCCGCTCTCAGGGCGGACGCTGTACCACTAGACCACGGAGGCGGTCTGGCGATGACAGAAGCAAGAAGACCATGACCCCGGACCATGGTGAATAATGCTCTTACAGGAAGGAGATCGGACCTGGACCATGGAAACCAGTGGTCGATGGAGTGAACAACACTGTGCTACACTCATCAGCCATAAGAATGTCAACTAGCCCTGAAATATCGTTTCTTTCTTTGTTATTTCACTGAATCATAAACCTTTATCAGTTATTTGTTGTGTTAACATATCATATTTAGCATGGAGATTCAGAAAATATCATTAAAAAAGGGGACAATTTTCAATGTTATCTGAATAGAAAAAGTTCAATAATCCAAATTAACAAATATAAAACACATACAAAGTATGAATTGTACTCAGAAATGTGGTCAGAATTTAATAATCTGCATCTGTAACAATTATTCACACTCACTGCAATAACATGGCCAGCTGTGGGTTTCATGGTGAGACACACATTAAAACAACAGCTGATGCCTAACACACATTTAAAAACAATTTATCATCAAAATAAACATAACAAATTGTTATCCTCACAATTCTATCGGAAAGTTAATGATATCAACATCATGCCACAGAAAGTGGTGTAGGATACAGTTAGTAGGAGTAGGAGTAGAGGAATGACTTACTATTCTGAACTCTCCCTCACTCTCGGTAATGAGGTCCGCCATCTCTGTCTTCCAGTTCATCATCCCAGCAAACTTTTGCATCACCTCTAGGAGGTCCCCTGAAACAACAGTCAGGTCACTTATACAGCAACAACAGTCAGGTCACTTATACAGCAACATCAGTCAGGTCACTTATACAGCAACAATTCAGGTCCCATGTTACAACAGTCAGGTCACTTATACAGCAACAACAGTCAGGTCCCATGTAACAACAGTCAGGTCACTTATACAGCAACAACAGTCAGGTCCCCTGAAACAACAGTCAGGTCACTTATACAGCAACAACAGTCAGGTCCCCTGAAACAACAGTCAGGTCACTTATACAGCAACAACAAGTCAGGTCCCATGTTACAACAGTCAGGTCACTTATACAGCAACAACAGTCAGGTCCCCTGAAACAACAGTCAGGTCACTTATACAGCAACAACAGTCAGGTCCCATGTTACAACAGTCAGGTCGCTTATACAGCAACAACAGTCAGGTCCCCTGTTACAACAGTCAGGTCACTTATACAGCAACAACAAGTCAGGTCACATATACAGCAACAAGTCAGGTCACTTATACAGCAACAACAAGTCAGGTCACATATACAGCAACAAGTCAGGTCACATATACAGCAACAAGTCAGGTCACATATACAGCAACAAGTCAGGTCACATATACAGCAACTATAGTCAGGTCACATATACAGCAACAAGTCAGGTCACATATACAGCAACTGCAGTCAGGTCACATATACAGCAACAACAGTCAGGTCACATATACAGCAACAAGTCAGGTCACATATACAGCAACTACAGTCAGGTCACATATACAGCAACAAGTCAGGTCTCATATACAGCAATTACAGTCAGGTCACATATACAGCAACTACAGTCAGGTCACATATACAGCAACAAGTCAGGTCACATATACAGCAACTACAGTCAGGTCACATATACAGCAAGTCAGGTCACATAAACAACTACAGTCAGGTCACATATACAGCAACAAGTCAGGTCACATATACAGCAACAACAGTCAGGTCACATATACAGCAACAAGTCAGGTCACATATACAGCAACTATAGTCAGGTCACATATACAGCAAGTCAGGTCACATATACAGCAACTACAGTCAGGTCACATATACAGCAACAACAGTCAGGTCACATATACAGCAACTATAGTCAGGTCACATATACAGCAACAAGTCAGGTCACATATACAGCAACAAGTCAGGTCACATATACAGCAACAAGTCAGGTCACATATACAGCAACAAGTCAGGTCACATATACAGCAACAACAGTCAGGTCACATATACAGCAACAAGTCAGGTCACATATACAGCAACTATAGTCAGGTCACATATACAGCAACTATAGTCGGGTCACATATACAGCAACTATAGTCAGGTCACATATACAGCAACAAGTCAGGTCACATATACAGCAACAACAGTCAGGTCACATATACAGCAACAAGTCAGGTCACATATACAGCAACTATAGTCAGGTCACATATACAGCAACTATAGTCGGGTCACATATACAGCAACAACAGTCAGGTCACATATACAGCAACAAGTCAGGTCACATATACAGCAACAACAGTCAGGTCACATATACAGCAACAAGTCAGGTCACATATACAGCAACTATAGTCAGGTCACATATACAGCAACTATAGTCGGGTCACATATACAGCAACTATAGTCAGGTCACATATACAGCAATTATAGTCAGGTCACATATACAGCAACTATAGTCAGGTCACATATACAGCAACTATAGTCAGGTCACATATACAGCAACTATAGTCAGGTCACATATACAGCAATTATAGTCAGGTCACATATACAGCAACTATAGTCAGGTCACATATACAGCAACTATAGTCAGGTCACACATACAGCAACAAGTCAGGTCACATATACAGCAACAAGTCAGGTCACATATACAGCAACAACAGTCAGGTCACATATACAGCAATTACAGTCAGGTCACATGTACAGCAACAACAGTCAGGTCACATAAACACTGCAACAGGTCAGGTCATTTCCATTGATCTCGATCACAGCCCATCCATCAATACAATCCTCCATCATTTACCCACCTTCAGCCACAATGTCTTTACTGCGTTTGTTGTGACGGAAAGGTCCAACTGCATTCCTGTTAAACAGGATGCGTGGTATATTCCATCTGACGTTGTCAATAATACCAGCAAATGGCTGAACCTGAAACATAAGTATGCACAGCTGAGGATGTGTGTTTGCATGACTGCAGAGTCACTGTGCAAACCAAACTGACATGTAAGAATTACCCAGTTCCAAAGCCAACAGACAATAATCACAGATAGGAAGCGATGAAGCCAGGATCATCAACCAAACATCAAGTTGTCAAAGATATCAAACGAAAGGGGAATTAAATAGTGCTTCAACATTTCTTAAACTATGAAGTCACTGCATTTCAACAACCCCATAGGGTTTCCGGACTCAAATTTGTAGGTGAGGTGAAATTGGGTTTAACGTCGCGTCCAAGATTATTGCACTTATATAGCAACATGCATGCACTTGTGTGTGTGGGGCTGCTTGTACTAGTCCGGACTGATGCCGATTTATAGTGCTAGCCCACTGAGATACCATGCCGCAGTTTAACATGAATACCCCGCTCAGACACAGTATACTGACTCCGAGCCGACCAGTCCTTGTTTTAGCCCCTTAATGCCGAGCGCTAGACAGGGTAATAACAAGTACCAAATTTTAACTTCTTTTGGTATGACGCGGCCGGGGATCGGACCCCGGACCTTCTGCTCTCCGGGCGGATGCTCTACCACTAGACCACGGAGGCGGTCTCAAATTTGTACCAAGCAACTGGTCATAAGAGTCAACTCAATGGATTGGGTGGTCAGACTCGGTGTCTGTTTATTTAGCTTACAACAAGCAACACTGTTTTTTGTTTAACACCACACTCAGCAATATTCCAGCTGTATGACTGAGAATATGAACAAGAACCACACCGTTGGGTACCAGACATGCAATCACCCAAGTCACCGAGCCTGACCACCTGATCAATTAAGACATCCCCTACAACCAGCATAGGTTGTGAGGAACATTTCTAACCCGGATTCCCCATGGGGAATGACAAGCAGGAAGTCCTGAAGACGTATTCTGCACCAGGACTCAAACACTTGTGTAGACTGGGTAGATGGCAATGGAGTACGTCAGTGCGTCGGATTAACGAGACTGATTAATGAGTGATTTCAGAAATTCGTTACAAATAAGTTGTGTTGGAGTCAGAATGTGATGCTGTCGGATTAACGGTGGTCTAAATAGCACTGATTTAATCAGTCCCCATCATAAGTGTGGGATGAAGTTGGTTGGTTGGTTGGTTGGTTTGTTGTTTTAGGCCGCACTCAGCAATATTCCAGCTATATGAAGGCGGTCTGTAAATAATCGAGTCTGGACCAGACAATCCAGTGATTGATATCATGAGCATCGATCCACGCAATTGGGATCAATGACTTTCTTGAACCAAGTCAGCGTTAGTCGCCTTTAACGGCAAGCATGGGTTGCTGAAGACCTATTATACCCCGGATCTTCATGGGTCTGTGGGATAAAGCCGACTGTTGGATTAATGTGACTTGACTATATCATGTTGACAGTGAGTTACCTCCAGCGACGTCCCCATCACCAGTACCATGTCTGTCTGCAGCATGTCCTTCAGGTAGTAGTAGAAGCGTTTCGACAACTCCTCTCCGAAAAAGACGATATCTGGTTTTATCATCCCCTTAAACAGTCAAGAAAATGGTGTCAAGATATCTTCAAAAGTTACAGAATATATACGATTCTAAAGTCAGATCAACAACTATTACAACTCTCCAGTAACAGACTTACATCTGTCCTCACACTAAGAACACTTTGTGGATCAGGACCCTGATCCTTACACTTAGATTATTTCTAAATTTGTGTTTAAAACAGTTTTAAAGTGATACATGTACAGAGGAAAATCTTGTCAGGAAACATATCTATCAGGATGACTGCTATAGATAACATCATGTATATACTACTCAAAAGAAGTTAAAGATCACCCAGTTTTTTTTCATATTACTATAGTTAATCGAGCATGCCAGGGAATTGGGTGTTTTGAGTAGTATACATGCAAAGAACATTACTAAGAAACATAGAGTTGTTAATCTGTATGATTTCTCAAGGAAAGTTGGTTGGTTGGTTTGTTGTTTAACGCCGCACTCAGCAATATTCCAGCTATATGACGTCTGTAAATAATCATGTCTGAACCAGACAATCCAGTGATTAATATCATGAGCATCGATCCACGCATTTGGGATCGATGAAATGCATCAAGTCAGCGAGCCTGACCACCCGATGCCGTTAGTCGCCTTTTACAACAAGCATAGTCACCTTTTACAGCAAGCATGGGTTGCTGAAGACTGATATTACCCTGGGATCTTCACGGGTCTCACAAGGAGAGGTATCGTCCAGATTAACAACATTTTACAGTACTGACTTTAGATTTTATATGAGAAGAGATAGTTCTAACTTATTATTATAGCTAAAATGGCTAGAATTATCATTAAACCGCCCCCATGTTATCAGAAATCAGCTGGCAACTGTAACTTGATAATGCCCCCATATTGCTTGACGACGGGCCATTATCATGCTTGTTGTTAGGTGACGTCATAGGATAGGGATAGGTGACGTCACGTTGAATAGTGACGTCATCTGGTTTGTTCTATGACGTTTCAATATTTGTTAAAGTGGGTCAGTGCCTTTCGTGTTGATTGCAGTAAATGTTTCAAAACCGATATTGTTGTTGCTTTTTTATTTGATAACAAATTCCATCCATTTTAGATATAATAACGGAAACGCTATTTTTCAGGGCATTATCATTTGCAGAAGCCCTTGGTCTTTCCAACTGCCCTCCTTCGCTGGCCGTTAATTGAAGACCTCGAGCTTCTGCAAATGATAATGCCCTGAAAAATAGCGTTACCGTTATAATATAACAAACAGATATTACGATTCACATGATACTTACTGGGCAACCACTTCGTTTACATCTCGGAATCTTGTCGTCAAATATTTTGTCCTGGAAAAGCAGAAATATGAAGTGAGTGAGTGTGTGAATAGGAGTGATGAAGCTTCATAAGAGCTGGACCAGTGACGCTCACTCTCCAGAGAGGACTGGCCCCAAGCACACCTCGTCATTAGAGCTGACTAAAGAGGTAATGGTGGTCAGCGTCCCATCATTGCATGTCAGCATATACAGGTCATAAAACAACAATCATCCACTCCTTTTGAAAATGTTTTTTAGGACACTCTCTCTATTGAAGTCATCTCCCACCTTGATGTCGTCTCCCTTGTATTTCTGGCTGCAGATGATACACGTTGCCGTGGCGAATGTTCCGTGAGCTTCCACCAGTTTGGTCGGTGGAATACCAGCCACTGAAACATAAAACAAGAGTCTTCTAGTGAAGCATCTCTGGTCTGGAAACAGATTGAACCATAGCTGCCAACCCGAAACTGTTTCAATGAGTGAGATTTTGTTTTCACCGGGGTGGTGGAGCCACAGGTCAGATCCAGATCTATTTATAACTCAAGGTGCCCTACTTCGTGTGTGAACTTTGTGTGAATCCTAACATTTCTTGGCATAAAACAAATGTCTGCAGCAGAGGTCTGCAAGGCTGTGACACATGTTGAACAGCCTTGCTTGACAACAGTATAAGGATATATACCGAAACATCGCCAGAAATTAAAAAAGTTGTTATCCATAAATTGTGTCCATACTTTGACATCTTGAACAGGTCACATGAGAAACTGCTGTTCTTGCATTTATAATCATGATAATCTGGGCCCTGTTCCACAAATCCTAACTCCTTCGTCGGACAATTAATAGAAGACTCCAGAGTGCCACCCCACTCAGACACAGTATACTGACTCTGAGCCGACCAGTCCTTGTTTTAGCCCCTTGATGCCGAGCGCCAGACACGGTAACAACAAGTACCATCTTTTAACGTCTTTTGGTATGATGCAGCCGGGGATCAAACCCCCGATCATCCACTCTCTGGGTGGACACTCTACTATTAGACCACAGAGGCAGGCTACTTTAATATAGACATACGATAGTTGTAGCACTAAGATCACCTGTAGAAACGGGACCCTGAACTCTACGTGGTCTGACCTGGCACCAGGCATTTGCTGGTTTGTTGGTTAAAAATAGCGACTTGCCAGCAAAAAAGCTGCATGCATTCACGGTTGATAGAGGATCATACTGTATACAGACGTGTGAAGTACTGACCATAGATGGTTCTTTTGTTGTTTAACGCCGCACTCAGCAATATTCCAGCTATATGATGGTGGTCTGTATATAATCGAGTCTGGACCAGACAATCCAGTGATTGATATCATGAGCATCAATCCACGCAAATGGAATCAATGACATGCTTCAACGAAGTCAGCGAGCCTGCTTATATTGGATCATCTAAAAAAAACTCCCACAGCTTAATGAAGAAAACTCACATCGCTCCAAACCATCAATATTCTGTGTGTACATGCGGAGTAACATCCCTTTGTCGTGCAGGAGTCGGGCGAAGTAGTGGATGTAGTTGGGGCGGTACTTCCGCGAGGGGTACAGCTCCTTGGCAAGTGTGAAGAATGGTCGTGGGTTGTGGTGGAAGAAGTCGATGTCGAATATGGCCTCTGGATAAGGAATCTTGTATTGCTGGAGGTTGTCATAGAGACCTGTTCCTGGGGTTCTGAAACGAAAGAGTGGGGCGATGATCACTGAGTAATTTGATGGCCTCAGGCCAGCAAACCAATGGGCGATGGTGTGAGCATTTACTTATGTGACATTGTACAATTATTTAGTAAATCAGACAGGTTGAGTCATCTGTATACAAGCATAGATAAAATAACGAATTGATGGATAAAACGAACTTGTTGTTTGGTCCCAGCCATTTGCTGTATATATGCTGATAATGAACTATGGTTATGGTTATAACTATGGTTCCCTTTGAGTTGGTTATAACCATAGTTTACTGTATTCCTGCTTGGATGTACATGCCATGTAGTTGAGAAACAAGAGAACGTACAAAATACAATGTATCCACAACAATACAATGACAGGGGCACTATACTTTCTACTATAAGAACTTGTTGTTTAGTTCATCTCTTGAAACGCAGAAACCTGTTAGGCTGGTTTGAATGCTTTGAGCACTTTTACTGAGAATGTAGAAGCCAGGATGCTGTTTGACTCACTCCTCGGATCCTCACGGATCGTCACGGATCGTCACGGTTTGTCACGCAGAAGGTATCACATCAGGGTAAAAGATCTGATTTCCATGATGACGTCCCCTACCTGAAGTCTGGTATTCCGCTTGGTGTACTGATGCCAGCTCCGGCCACGATCACCACATTTTTCACCTGTTGGTTTCGTATCACCTCTGCCACATCGGAGAGGTTTCGTATTGTTGTTTTGCCACTGTAGAATCCTCGTCTGGAATACAAACATTCATCAACTACTCAGAGACATGGTACATATTTAAGAATGAATTATCTTTACGATGACTTTTCAATGTAACAAGGTCACAAGAGAGATAAATTCCGAGGTCAAAGGTGAAGAGCAAATTCCTAGGTAAATCACAGATCACAGATCAAGGACCAAGTCCCAGGTCAAGGACAAGACCACAGGTCACAGGTCAAGGACCAAGTCCCAAGTCACAGGTCAGGGACAAGATCTCAGGTCACAGGTCAAGGACAAAGTCCCAGATCACAGATCAAGGAGAAAGTCCCATGTAACAGGTCAGGGACAAGACCTCAGGTCACAGGTCAAGGACAAAGTCCCAGATCACAGATCAAGGGCATTATCCCAGACCACAGGTCAAGGACAAAACCCCAGGCAACGGGTAAGGACAAAGTCCAAGGTCACAGTTCACAAGTCATCATTATTAGGTCTTGTCAATTTTGCATCCATTTCAATAAAACATTTAGCAAAATTTGGTCAGCCACAAATCAAAATGCAGTGGCATGGGCAACATCTAGGCTGTAATGCTCATGTTACCTTCATTGTTTTGTGTGTCACAAAACTCACATTGCCTTGAAACTGAACACTTTGATCATATACAAAAGAGACAGAAAAAAAAGAGAAAAAGAGGAGTCATTCAACGACTTGCATTGGATGAAGGTTCAACAAATAATGTCTAACAATTTCTTATGGCACTTAAAGTTCAGCCCAATTTTTTTTATTCATTACACACTAAAGTAGTAAATGTATGGCCAAAAGAAACTCCATTAATAATAACAAGAGTTTGCCACTAACGTGGCTATATCCCCTGCCCCTGTTGCAGAATTTACGACATAATTAAATCTAAACAAACCCAAACCTTTTTTAACTTGTCATGGAAATCTTGTCCATCTTGTTGCCATGGAAACGTTAAAAATATAAATTTCTAAAATTTCTAAATAGCAAAAGGCACCAGTTCAGCATGTACTTGACAGACCTGCACATTTTCATGAAAAAATATCGAACGGTTCCTGAGTTATGCTCCGGAAACGAAATGTGATGGACGGACGGAGCCTGTTTCTATATCCCCCGCCAACTTTGTTGGGCGGGGGATAATAAGAAGAACGTTCACCATTACCTCGGAGGCGGTGGCCTTGAAGTGGAGTCGTTCTGTTCCCTGAGACTGAGGTTTCTCATGCCACTGACTAGAGAGGTGTCGGACTGCGTCTTGTATATTGGGCTGCTCTTGGAGTTGAAGGCACGGATCTGAGCTTTCTTCTTCCCCATGGTGGAAGTTGTGGCGTTTGTCTTATCACCTATCACAGTCTTGCCTGGAAACAATGACATCAATATTTCATTTGAAGGCACTAATATTATGTTTCATTCAAGGGAAATACTTCATGTTGGAACTAATTTCAGTCTGCCCTTATGAATTTCAAACAAAGATCGGAAAGAATATGCATCATAAACATGACGAATATATCACTGATGCACCGCGAATGAAATAATGACTTTGTTAGGGATGAAACGCAATAAATATTACTCTACAGAGGCAGGTCCAGATTTGACAAAGGGGTGCACACTATGAAAGTCTTGACATGAACAAAAACACAGGATAGGATGACATGTAAGGTGTCGGAAATAAGAGAGTAGGATTCACTACTATCTTGTGATGTTACAAAAGAGACAACTGTCCTCTACATAAGAACAAGATTCATCAGGAGATTATATATCCCCCCATTTGGTGCGATTTTGAAATAGAGTTTTGCTACCTACACCCCAAGTTCAGTGAAGAAAGAAATAATGCTGTTTTATAAATCCCAAATCCAAATCCCAGTTCTGCTTCGAAAAAAACCCACTACCCTCATTTTCAGTGTATCCAATTTGGAATTGTGAAAACATAAAATATGAAATATATACACACACACACACACACACACACCCCTTTGTTCCCAAACCATATTTCATAAGATTCATGAGTATAAAACCACAAAGAGATCTAGTCACAGCAACCAAGGCAGCAAACTAGGCCCTTACAGGTTTATAACGTTTGACAAAATACATTTCGATGGAAATTTTTTGTTTACATACAGATTAATGGTTTGAGGACAAGGGGTACAAAAAGTGTCCCCATATGCTGTAATTTGTGCTCTGACTGAGCTTGTGATGGCTGGGGCTAAATCAGCATCCGCCTAAAGTAGAACATTACAAGAAGTGAATTGTAGCTACATATTAGCAACCAGTGGATGTCGTAGAATAAAAGTAGAGCAGCACACAGCTTCAATTTGGCAGCTATGTTAGACACTATAAGTAGAGCAGCACACAGCTTCAATTTGGCAGCTACGTTAGACACTACAAGTAGAGCAGCACACAGCTTCAATTTGGCAGCTATGTTAGACACTACAAGTAGAGCAGCACACAGCTTCAATTTGGCAGCTACGTTAGACACTACAAGTAGAGCAGCACACAGCTTCAATTTGGCACCTATGTTATACCCTACATGTATTGCAGCCTCTACAAGCTGACAGTCGATCAAACTAACGCTGGATCGTGATTGTCTAGTATGGCTACATCCAACACCATCTTGACTTTCAACAGTTTTGATAGATGTAAAACAATGAAAAATATTTGTATAATCTCAACCATTAGATCATTTTTTAAGTCAGAACAGATTCTGAAGTTTTCTGAAGATTCCGAGGATTTCTAGTAGGGATTTGTGTATGTGTTAGAACCGCCTCTGTGGCGTTGTGGATAGAGTGTATGCCTGGAGAGGGGAAGGATGATGGTTCGTTCCTCTTGCCAAATTACACCAAGATGCTAAAATGAGTGAGTGAGTGAGTTGGGTTTAACGCTGCTTTTAACAGTATTCCAGTCATATCGCGGCGTTCAGCGTAATGTGGGAGGAAAGCCCGAAGTGATGCAGATTTCAGACGTTTACCACTTTGGTGAAACCCACGAGCACGGGTATGGTGCTGACAAACCTAGAAACATAATCAGGGCAAACCGGGATTCGAACCCACAATCATAGGTTTCTGGCGTGCCCAAGGGACGCACAGTGAATCGCGGCGCCTTAGACGACTGGCCCCCCCCCCACAAGATGCTAAAAGATGGTACCTGTTATTACAAGGACTGGTCGGCTAGGAGTCAGTACACTGTGTCTGAGTGGGGTATTCATGTTAAACTGTGGCATGGTATCTCAGTGGGCTAGCACTATAAAACCAGCATAAGTCTGGATGAGGAGCCACATACACATGTAAATTAGTAAATAAGTGTAACAATCTTGATTGTATGTTTGTTTTGTTTGGTGTTGTTGAACACCACACACAGCAATAGTCCAGCAATATGACTTTGGTCCGTAAATAATCAAGACAGACAATACAGTGACTGACATCATGAACATCAATCCATGCACCTGGGATACGATGACATGCATCTACCAAGTCAGCAAGTCTGACCGCCCGATCCTCTTAGTCGCCTCTGACGACAAGCATAGTCACCTTTACAGGAAGCAGACCTATCTTGAAACCATCGAAGCACCTTTCACCCACTACCTCACTGGATGTGTTAGGTTTAACACCAAAGTGTGAGAATATCTGGACATGTTGAAGGTACTTATGCTCAGAATACTACTGCAATACCAGAATGAATGTTGCAATTGTAAAAAAACCAAATAGTCACATTTAACAAATTCCATTTTCAGCCAACAGAACGTTTGAATGAACATGAGTACTGTGTACATAAAAAAAAAAAATTTTGTTTTGGTCCTCAGGTGACAAAACTGCCCCAAATGTTAAAAAAGACAAATAAAGCTTCCAACAATTACATTTCAATTCCAACAAATAACTAAATGTCCATCATAGACTTCAGAATAAAACAATTCTAAAAGACATCCATAAACAACAGCATAGGCATAAAAAAGTGACAATGACACACACATCATGTTAAAATCTCAATATGTTTCACCTACCAGATCGACCTGAGCACCTTGAACATGATGCCATCATGTCAAACTCGGATCTCAATAGGGAAACTTACAACAGTATACATGATATTAACCAAGCCTACGCCCTGGATATCTGGTGTATCTTAAATAAACCATGACGAAGGCGACATTAATAATTCAAATACACACGTTGATTGTTTATCTGATACTTTCATCGGACAAGACGATTGATTCTTAATTAATTGGAATGAGGCTCCGTGAAGGATTACTCACTTCCTCAACCACTAAATCGGGTGAGCGTTGATTGATGCTAGAATCCGAATGAATTCAATGATTTATTTAAACACCACCACCAAGACACTGACGTCTTGAAATTAACCTCAGTGAAAGGTCTCAATTTCTGTTTGCATTTCTTTATTCCTTTGTGGTTTCTTGCACTGTTTTTCTTGGGGACTTGGGATTTGAGGAAGGTTTTATCAGCGTGTTATGTCATTAGGTTCATGACTTAGTCTGATCAACAATATCACGATGCTAATTAAGAATGGTCAGTTTGCAAAGTCACTCCCATCACATGCAGTGTTCTCGAGGTACTGCATGTGTCTGCAAATGATTAAATCGTCAATGATTTACAGTCACACAAGGTTATCTCAAAGCTATAATATACTTGTGTGAATGTTGTTCAACACATTCCAGATATATCAAGGTGGCATTTTAATTATCCAGTCTAGACCGGGCACATCTGTGACTGGAAGTCTGAACAATGTTCCAAGCCAGTTGGGGACAATGACACACAACCAGCCAAGTCACTTTGCTAGGTAACCATGAAAGAATTTTAAAAGTTCTTGAGCCAATCAGATGTCAGTTTTGTAAAAGATTCAGCTTCATTTCTTTACAACCTCAATTAGAAAATGTTCGATTTTTACAAAAGAAAATCCACAGGATACAAGTATTCCTTTTGGGTGAAGATGCCATGTGGCTTGTAAACTGACAACAAAATAATGGTGTGGAATTCATTATTTACATTTGGAACTGGAAAGTTAAATTCATTTTCAAGATCAGAAATCAGATATGCTGGTCTGAATGCTTTGCTCACTTGTACTGAGATGTTAGAAGACTCAATGCCAACTAGCTCATTAGAAAGTTAATCTGAGGCGGCAACCTATGGCGAGGTTGTCAAATCTTCATGCACAGAAGTTTTGTAAAATGTATGTTTTTAGTTTTAGAAAACATGCAAATTGTATCCTCTGGGGTTTACATATCTTCTTTCACAGTGCTCCCGATAGATGTTGTATCAGCATATCACACGGATAAAAGCTAGTCAAATACACTTATTTTGATTGTACGGACTGATTGCAAAGTGTGTTTATGAATTTCCAACCAAATAGTCCTGCAAATTCACAGAGAGAGTCAGCAAGTAGTCACACACACTTGAACAAACCTGATAAACGATGTACTGGTGGGTAGGACAGGTAGAAAGCATTGTTAAATTACCATGTATATATAACTATTTTATCAGACCAGTATTAGTCAATTCTACAAATGAGCAGTAGTGCTTATAGTTTGAAAAATTATGTCTGATACTCGTCAGTTCTGCTAATGACCAGTACTGTACTCACATGGTTGAAAATTATCTGGAACACTGCATTCATAACAGTAAACCTTCACTAGACCAGGTTGGTGACACTATCCAAGTTGTTTTTCATGTCCCATTTGCTTTTGACAAATTTTAACTTTGATTAGTTTCCTATTCACATCAATTCTGAAATAATATTCACAGGGATAAAAGTAACATAGCACCGTTATCAAAAGCGTTGCATATGATCATCGAAATCACTGTATCTGGCAATGGCTGTAATTTGCATAAGTGGTGAATGGAACACAAACATTTGTAAACAAAATACTGACAACTTATCTAAATTATGTATGATGTATTTTGATATTGTTTAATCATGATTTGATATCATACTGAGACTTTTTAATATGTTTATTTTATATGTACAGCACCACTGAGCACAATGGATATTAGGTTAGGCGCTACATTAATTCATTATTACTAATATAATTACTACTATTATTATGATATAATTCATTATTGTTACTTTTTTATTTATATTCTGATTTTTTTATTTCATATCAAATAGTTTGTGGTGAATCAAAAATAACTTCACAGGATAAATGAAGGAAATCACCATGGAAATTATTTTCATTAAGGACATGGAGGCGGCCATGGATAGCTGGTTTTCTGCAAGATTTAACTAGCCAGTGTGACAAGTCGTCGTCTACATTCCACTGGCCCCTTTAAACTTTCACTTGCCTGGGGCAACTGGGATAACGTTAATTTCGGACACAAGATATGACTTTAACAGCAGTATTCTGTAATTGATTATCGATTAAACATTTATCTTGACTCGCGATATAGGCCTAGTTATCTATCGATCTGTAGGATCTGTGACTTGGTCAATTCTAGCCTAGTATTGATCACAAACGCGGCATTTTTACACATCGACACTCTGGTTTGCAAAGAGCGTGTCTGATGTGGCTATTACAGTTAATTGTTATCGAGTCACATATTACGCGAACAACCTGACAGCTATCAATACAATCAGCTGATGAGACACTTGATTTATAAACTTAAAAAAAAGAACACTGCCAGTGACTGGGTAAGTTAATATGTAATAACAGCTTTACCTTTAGAGTTTGTTATTGTTGCCATTAGAATTCTTCTGAACATACTGCTCACTTGAAACGAATTCTGAATTCAATTCAGATGATGTATTCTTAAAGGTGTCATTTTAAATTTTGTAAGGTAAAATACCAACATCAAACCGGAAAGGACGCCATAGTTACTGATAAACTGTGGACTCCGTGGATGAAGAGTGGTACAAGGGAGAGCACTGTCGCCTGTCCTCTCAAAGAGGCCTACGTAGGGTTGGTTAAAGACGGGCATGTGACAGTCTTAATCTACATTGTCTGCTTAAGTCTCATATGTGTTTCTTTACATTTCAGAATGATTAATCTCGGAATAAATCCAAATAAAGGTGTACACACATGTTGATCATACAATGTATAACGTTGTTGGGATATATTTTTCGATATCGGGCAAGTTATTTCCCGTAGAAAAGGACAATCTTTAAAGATATGTTTGGCCAACAAGCTGTAATTAATTTTTGTCAGCTATGGCATGAAGGCTATTTAACTTCCATCTACGACTGAAGAACAAAGGGGAACAACTCCTGCGACATTCAAACAAACTTTCACCTTTTGAATGTTTTTTTTGGGTTTTTTTCATTTCTCATTTCCGGATAAAGTTAACTATGTCTGGTTAAAGGATCAAGATTTAGTTTGTGAAGTTGTGTTTTATTTTGAAATATTTATTTGAATTTATTTATTGTACAAACATGTTTTGGACACACAATTGTATGTATAGTCCTTCTTAGACTGCTTCCCTGAACCAAACTGCTACCAACTAATAGTCCCCTTTCGGTACGAGTATCCCGCTCGGAGATTTTGCAGTGTTCATGCTGGTTCACGGGTCAGATCAGCCGCCTCCGTGGTCTTGTGGTAGAGCGTCCGCCCAGAGAGCGGAAGGTCCGGGGTTCGATCCCCGGCCGCGTCATACCAAAAGACGTTAAAAGATGGTACTTGTTGTTACCCTGTCTGGCGCTCGACATTAAGGGTCTAAAACAAGGACTGGTCGGCTCGGAGTCAGTATACTGTGTCTGAGTGGGGTATTCATGTTAAACTGCGGCATGGTATCTCAGTGAGCTAGCACTATAAATCGGCATCAGTCCGGACTAGTACAAGCAGCCACACACACACACACGTGCATGCACGTCGCTATATAAGTGCAATAATCTTGGACGCGACGTTAACCCCAATTTCACCTCACCTCACGGGTCAGTTCGCTCTCCAACATTGGGTTCGAATCGCGGTTCGCCCTAAGTTCTAGCAGAGACAATCTTTTATGGTCTCTGGTCCTAGCTTTGTCAGCATCATACTAGTCCTGCACCATGACTGTGGAATATATTTATTTTATGAAGAACAAAAACAATCTAGATATGTATACAAAAGCAAGTCTAGTCGGCTGTAGCTAGCTCTATTCCACAAAATCAGCATCGGAGAAAATTATTTGTTGAAGTTTAGAGTTGAGAAAGGTATTGTGTAATATAAGATTTCATAGACTAAATGTTAGTCTAGCACCAAAGCCGCGAGTTTCACCCAAGTGGTAAACGTCTAAGACCTGCATCACTTCGGGCTTTCCTCCCACATTAAGCTGACACGCCGCAATATTACTGAAATACTATTGTCAAGTAGCGTTACAATTGCGTGGATCAATGCCCATGATGTTAATCACTGGATTGTGCGGCGTTAAACAACAAACCAACCAACCAAATCAAGTAGCGTTAAACCAAACTCACTCAATCCGGCTTGGGAGCCGTTCTCCTATTTGGACACGTCTCCTCATATGGAGGTGAGCTGAACTGGATTAAACTTTACCATGAGCCCTATAAATTAATATTGCAAACATATCGCGGTGATCTGTCAGTTTGGATGCAGTGGCGCACTTGTCTTCATGAACCAATACACCGATAGCCTCTCCGTCCTTAGTCCAAACACAGCCGCCATTGTGACCCAAGGATCCACGTTTTATCGTCTCTTACATGCATGGAATAATGTCGAGGTATTCTGTCTCAGATTCTCCAGATGTAACATGAGAACGAAACGTACATACACACGCATGAGTGAGTTTGATTTTACGCCGCTTTTAGCAATATTCCAGCAATATCACGGCGGGGGACACCAGAGATGGGCTTCACACATTGTACCCATGTGGGGAATCGAACCCGGGTTTTTGGCGTGACGAGCGAACGCTTTAACCACTAGGCTACCCGACACGCGCATGAACATAAGACCTATAATTTATAATCCATTGGTCATGGCAAGGCCAGTTAAAACATCATGATTGTTTCAGTAACTTATAGATTTTAGTATTTAGTATTTTAGTAAAATATTTGAATGAACCAACTTGCATAATAAACAAGACGTGACCCGGTAGTGATCAGCTACAATCAGCAGTGATGACCAATTTCTTATTTTTTTTATCTAAACTGGTTTGGTTCGCGCAACACGCTTAGCGCATTTACTCGTTTAAGTAGACAGTAACCCAGTCAATATTTCCTCAATGCAGTTAAGACAAGGGTTATAGTAGGGGTTTTCTTATCAAAGAGATATTGCCATTAACGTGATGGTGTGACTGGGTGGTTTGCATGTTTAATCGTAGTTCTCAACCCTCTAATCTGTGTAGCCTGGCTCATGAATATTTAAAGGCGATCATTGTTACCGTCTTCTTCGGGAACTGTCACGAATGAAAACAAAGCAAAACACTGACACGCAATCTAATTTTGAAGAGAGGCAAACTATTTGTCTTGCGGCGATTAAAGAAAATCGGGGTTAAGATTGTGTTATCATTATCTAAACGTGGAAAAAATCGTGTATTTATCTCATACTTCTCAATTATGTAAATTTTATCTGTACGTGCACCAAATAAAAAAAAAGATAAATAAATACAAGAAGGAATATATAAATATTTTAGTGGGTCTTCTTGATACAATTAATGATCGACTAAACAAATGAGATAACCTGTAAAGGAATACATGCAGAAGGTGTATTATAACTGTTTTATTCTATTTTTTGTACATTTCATTTTTTTCATACTCTCCATTTGTTATCGACAGTTCACACGTGACACAAACATGCCCTTCAGTTTAATTTCATATGTTATTTATCGTAAACGTCGTGACTTTTTAAGTTTACTATTCAGTAACTGAGTTATCGTTTGGGTTTTACGCCGCTTTTAGCAATACTCCAGCAACATCACGGAGAGGGGTCACCATGAATGGGCTTCACACATTGTACCCATATGGGGAATCGAACCCGGGCCTTTAGCGTGACGAGTGGACACTTTAATCACGAGGCTATCCCACCGCACTTACATTTGTGTGTTTGTTGATTAACGCCGCACTCATCAATATTCCAGCTATAAAATAATCTGTAAAATAATCGAGTCTGGACCAGACAATCCAGTGATTGATATCATGAGCATTGATCCACGCAAATGGGATCGATGACATATATCAACCAAGTCAGCGAGCCTGACCACCCGATCCCGTTAGTCGCCTTTTACGACGAGCATAGTCGCCTTTTACGGCAAGTGTGGGTTGCTGAAGATCTATTCTACCCCGGAGTCTTCACGGGTCCCACCGCACTTACAGCAAGTGAGGGTAAATGAGTGCGTGGATGGGTGCTTAGCCACCCCACAGCAACAAATACGACGGGGGGGGGGGGGGGGGGGGGGATCTTGAGACCCCAACATAATCTGTCTGACGGGCTAACGCACAACCCTAGTCGCTAGGAAGCCCACCCAGTATGTACAATGGTGATGATGATGGTAATGATGATTACAACGATGGTGCTGAGAACGACGACGACGGTCCTGATGATGACGCTGATGATCGTGCTGGTGATGTGGACGACGAAGATACGAATGACTAGGACGGCAAACCATACGGAGAACGATGATGACGAAAGAGAATGGTGGTGATGCTGATGCTGAAGACGACGGCGATGACGACGACGATGTTGCTGATGATGATCATGCCCGTGATGAGGGCGACGGAGATACGAATTACAAGGACGGGAAATCACGCGGAGAACGATGATGACGTAAGATGTCTATTTCACAAGGAGGTGCTAGATCACCTCCACCCCCATTCCCCTTTAATGGCCTCCCCTAACAGGCTGCTGATACCCGTGACCAGCATGCGTGCACCGATCTATCCCCGTTGTTTACAAGACTGCAAACATTCGGATTCCGAAACACCGCTTGACCTTTTTGTCTGCATAGTATCCTGACTGAAAAGGCATTGCAAGGAGTGGGTAAAAGCAAATGGCAAACTCGATGCCACTTTTATGTTGGGAGAAGAGAGAACAACATACTCCTTGACTTGCTTCGGTGGCATTCCGCCGTTCACGTTGCCGTTAATCCGTGCACCATGTTGCTATATTCTAGTAGAGGTGTTTATTTGACTAGACTTGGCAACATGGAGAAAATCGAGGGGCTTGGAGATTTTTTAACCTTTTTTCTTTGTTTCGCAAATTCCATTCTGCTTTTATTTTATAACTAGAAGAAATCTTGAGAACATATCAAATCTAATTGCTGTTATCGTCGCTCGTCTTTTCAACATTCTGTTGTTATATATAACATGATATGATTATATATATTAACTCTGTGCACTGCGCTTACTAAGCATTCACCCGATGAAAGAGCAAGAGGTAGCCCTGAAACGTTGTGACAAAGAATAAAAACTGCTATCCATAAAAAGTGTCATGTATTCATATTCTCCGGTCTATATGCCTATCAAAGACTGGGATGTTCTTGTTTTCGGATATTGTTTCATTAGTCAGTCGGTGTTCGTATTTTCGTCCGAGAGATAGCAAAACACTAAAGTAAGAATTAAGCATCTCTAAAGTCGTTACCATTTCCCATCAAATATACCCTGAGCCTGTACCAGGTCGCCTTAAGCACAGAGCCGGTACAAAACGCGTATAATGTGGCTCTCAGTATTTGTTTGATAGTCGTCGCTTGTAGTACAATTCTCGAGGCTTATCGTTAAACCTCACATGTATATCCTTAGCTAGACTCGATACAGTCGCTGTTTCCAGTGTGAATTTTATAAAATAATATAAAAAATCCGATACACGTTTTGATATTCTTTTTTTCAACTCTCTTGAAGCATACTTTTTTTTATTTTAAGCATTATCGAGAACAATATCTTTCGATAAAAT